CCAGTATGTTTCCCGTTACCTTGCTGCACAACATGGAATGTTCTGGTTACCGTCAGTAACAAAGGATGCTTACACCCACCACCACTTGCATCATCCTGTTGTGCACCAGCCCTGCTGCCCTCTGCATGCTCTGGAAGCACAGCAGGGAGCTGCAGCACTTTCCAGTGCCTATCTTTCTAGGTTTGTTACACCATTCAGAGGGGAATGTGTTGCTAGGCAGTAATCTTGAATTCATTCTTAATTTGATCTAGATTAAGGTAAAAAGCAACTGAAGTACTTATTCATGAAGTTAAAAATAGGTAATAGAATAACAGAGGTTTATATTCAACCTAAGAGAGGAAGTAGAAGAAAACCATTTATATTATGCATACTATTCACATTATTTCCATCTGATTTACATACTACCATAGATGTCAGGACCTCTCTGGTCTTAGATATCTTATGCTCTTGTTACATCATTAGGAAATCCTTTTTTTTGGTGCAGCATGTTAACTTTTGTAATCAGTTTCTTTAATAGCATTTGAAACCTTCCTCAAGAGGTCCAGTGAGATTCTATCTTATTCAATAAATGCTATTTACTGTGAATCCCAGAGATAATCTAGTTATTTGAAATAATTTAAATAAGCACAGTTTCATTTCTCAGAAGATATGCATGCCTCTCTGTCAGATCAGATGCCACCCCTTCTACTTGACTGAATATATAATGGCTGCTTGCCTTAATAAAAGATGTATCTTGTTCACTCGTCCCTTTGCTAATTTTGATGTTTCACTATGAAGCATTTCCTCCATTGAACCTTAGTTCTGTGTCAGTCTTTCCACTAACAAAAACCATCTGACACAAATGCCTACACGAGATAAATGTTATTTGTTTCATTCTTGGGTTTTGACTGAAATCCGATGCTATGGTAAACTAACATTCTGGAAGACAATCCCCCATGTATTTCCTCGATTCTTTTTAAGTAAGTGAAGAATTTGGACTTGTTTCTAAATAAATCTAGCCTGACATGCCTGCATTGAATCTAGAGACTGAGGACAGGGGTAGATTGTATTTAAATTAACAAGTAATTGTATATGTGTATTTGCAGTTTACTGACTTTACTAGCATGTAAGAAAAAAAGTCTAGTCTTGCTTTGAAATGTATGATTTTTGTTTTCTTTAAAAAAAAAACCCAAACCACCAACATTTTAGGTCAAAACAAAAAAGGAGGGTTGGTGCCATATACAAATATTCATGTATTATTCAAATGAAACAGGTTGATGCCAATTATTTGTGAATCTGACAGTTTTGATCTGCTCCAACTATGCTGATCTCACTGGCTGAAGAATTAAATGAAATTTATGCAGGTGAAAAATATGAATTCTCTATTTGTAACATAGTTGGTGTCTTGACAAAACCATTACAGTACTAAAAATTGCAAAAGAGTGGGTTTTTGACAGCTGAATCACTGACTGGAAACAATTCTTCTGGAAATATAAATATAATCAATGGTTTACTGTAAAAGACATTTCCCTAAAATAGCTAACAAAATGGACTATTCAGAGACACTGCCATGAACTAAAGAACTTAGAAAACAGCTCTAATTTTTTCATTAGGCACTGTCTCTCCAGCTACTCAAATGAAGCAATAACTGGAAGTTTCAAAGTAGGAATGTCTGTAATGCTGCTGAAAGAAACATGTAATCCCTCTCTAATTACAGCCCTGGAACTATCAGGAACAATCACATTTGCTTGCTTCTCCTATTGTATTACTTAAATTTTACCTATTGTTTAGAAAATACTGAAATTTCATCCTCCAAAGGGTGATTGGGGCGGGGGTGGTGATATAGTACAGTACATTGACCATGGCCCTACAGCCCCCAGTGAGGCTCCCTCTAAAAGGGGAATTGTGCAGTACCAGTTCATCGTCAGAAACAAGAAAACGTTACCCCCTTCCTTTCATCAGCTCATTTTTAAATACTTCACAAATTTCCTGTGTTACAAACTCCAAACCAAGTTCTCCACTTATATAAATAGGCAAAACTTAGATCTCTTAACTTTCTTGACAACAGCTTGCAAATTCCCCTCTTGAACGCCACGTCATATTTGCCATAAAGATTTAGCTCTCTAATACTATTTTAAAACTATCATTGGCCAGCTTGGTTAAGCACATAAAACCAGCTGCTATTTTTTCTGCTAAATCCTTCTGCATTTTCCATTCTCTGCAATTTAAAATATTTTTATCATACTTGGGTAACAAAATGTTTTTCAATGTGTTAACTTTTCTTTACCAAGTATCATTAAAACAATTAAATCTAGCATCTCAAACTCACAGTGTCCCTTCAAATCCATGTCTGTTGTCATTTATCTCAATATAGTACCATTAATTTGTTGTTATTTCTCATCACATTTGGGTACCAGTGTATCTAATCTTAATATGAGGTCTACTGATGAAACATGTGCATTAGTGTGTTAAGTGCTTGTATATTAAGTCTGCTTGCAGGTTATGCAGAAAACAGTGATCTCTCTGGCATGATCCCCTCCTAGGGGATGTAGTTTACAGTTTGTAAATAAATGCATCTCAAACCCGAATTGCCAGGTTTATTCCACAAACAGGTAATGGTTTGTTTGTTATCCCATGACGTATTCAAACATGTCTGAGCAAATTCTTTGCACCAGGTGGACAGAATTTGACTTTTTATTGCCATGACCGAACGTGAACATTTTAAATGAGGTTGTGAGAATCAAAAGTCCTTTTGAAAATGGTAAAACTGCTAAAGGTATAAAAAATGTTCTAAAAAAGGCCTGAATCAGACCTGAGTCAAGAGAATTTGAATATATCTGATTTCAGGAAACTTTACTTTTTGATCACTGTCCTGGGTTTAGCACTAGCAGTCATTTTTTCTCTTTCTTGGTAGCTGGTGCAGTGCTGAGTTTTGACTTTTGGACTGGGAACAGAGCTGATAACAATGATGTTTTGGTTTGGCCAAGGACTTTGTGAGCCTCATGCTCTGCCAGGGAGGAGGGGAAGCCGGGAGGAAGCAGACACCTGACCCAAACTGACCAAAGAGGTATTCCATACCACAGCACGTCATGCCCAGGGGGGAACTGGGAGTTACCTGGAAGGACAGGGGATCTGCTGGGTCGGAGTCATTGTTTGGCAAGTGGTATTGTACTCTTTTCCCTTGTTACCCTTGTTATTTTCTCTTATCATTGTTAGTGGTGGTGGTAGCGGGGGTGATTTGTGTTGTACATCGGTTGCTGGACTGTTCTTATCTCAACCCGTGGGAGTTGCATTCTTTCGATTCTCCTCCCTGTCCCTCTGGGAGTGGGAAAGTGGGGGAGCCCATGGGGGGGGGGGGGGGGGGGATGTGGGCCTCGACTGCTTCCAGCCCGGCACCAACCACTGGGAGTGAGTGCACAAGCTGTCTGGCTGGGTTTAAACCACGACAAATCACTCAATGTACCATATGCAAACCGGATCACAGCTATAAGGCAGTGAAGGTGTCCTAATCACCTGAGCAAGTACTCTTTTGGAACTGAAATAAATGACAGTTAAATACATGTGTGTTTGTTGTTATTTATTACCCCCATCATAACTTCATTATTATTATTCATTATATCTCTTAAATCTGCTAACTGCATTATGACGTTTTGGATTGTAGTGAAAGAATTATTCAGTTTTTCTTTGGTAATATTTACCAGTTATCGCAATTAGCTTCAGGATAGTTGGTAAATAACATGGCTCACAGATGAAACATTCCCTAAAAACAAGACACTGGATCAGTCTGATGCTCAGTGATACAATGAATGAATGGTACCTACAAACTATTGCTCTGAGAGCTGCATGATCTGCTCTTTCAGCTGATACTGCAGGGTATGAACTGGAACAATGTGCTTGCAAGGGGTTCCTGGAAGCGGTCAGGTGAGTGGTGAGAGGATTCAGCTGCTTTGGTTAATTTATTTTGTATGGCTCTCTGATGATACACAGGGCATAACTGGCCAATAGCTCCTCCTCAGACCTGAGCCGCTTGTGTTTTGTAAGCTCTGCTTCCTCTGCTTCACAGTCTGTTGTGCTATGCAATACCCATCTTATCTCAGGGCTTCCAACCTGCCTTTGGATTCCTTCACTGGCTGCATCGTGTATCACAGGCTTCATCCTCCCCATAAAACTTTGCAGACACAGACCTTGCACACCTCTCCTTCAGCAGTGCGTCTTGTGTTCTTTTGCACCACAACACTCTGCAGGCTCACCTCCCTGTATTCATTAGTACAGTAAAGAAGTAAATGAAGTAAATCATCCACTGCCACATTGAATGTTTTCTCTGGCTGCTTATTGATTTGCATTATTACAGCAAGCTCCAACACTGTAGTGAGGTAGTGAGCAGAGAGTTAACAGTACAGTTGACCAGAGAAGCTGTGGCTGCCCCATCCCTGGCAGTGTGCAAGGTCAGGTTGGATGCGGCTTTGAGCAGCCTGCTCTAGTGGAAGGTGTCCCTGCCCATGGCAGGAGGTTGGAACTGGATGATCTCAAGGTCCCTTCCAACCCAAACCATTCTGTGATTCTGTGGTAGCTGCCAGGAGAGGGAGGCGCCGGTGTCTCTGGCAGGAGGGCGGCAGCAGCAGAAAGGGTCGGGGGCAGCGGTGGGGACCCAGCGGACACGGTTAAAGGTGGTGCCGGTGCCAACAGACCCTGTGGCTTGGCGCCACCTGCTGGAGCGCCACCGCCGCCGCCGGTCCGCGGGCGGGGCTGAGCAGTGCACGGCAGGAGGCGCGGCGGTGGGCGCTGGTCCCGCCCCTCGCTGGGAGCCGTGGGGAGCCCCGCTGCGGCCCCCTCCCGGGGAGGGCAGCGGGGGCACCGCCTCAGCCTCTCGGCGGCAACGGCCGCGGCAACGGCCGAGCGCGAGGATCCGCTCCTCCCCTTCTCAGGGGGTGGAGGGGGTGCGTGCGTGTGTGACCGAGCGCGCGCCCGGGGTTGGGAAGGATCGCGCACGCGCAGAGCAGCGCGGCAGGCTGTGGCGGCTGCGCAGGAGGCGGCGGTGGCAGTTGGGGCGCCCCCGCTTCGCCGCGTGAGCGGGGTAGCGTACGCGCGCTGTGGTGAGATGTTCGTGGCGCGCAGCATTGCTGCGGATCACCGCGACCTCATCCACGATGTCTCCTTCGACTTCCACGGGCGGCGCATGGCCACTTGTTCCAGCGACCAGAGTGTCAAAGTGAGCGGCGGCTGCCGCCGTGTGCGGCCATGGCGGGTGTCGCGGCACGGCCGTGCGTTGGCCTACCGGGCTGCCGAGGGAGGGGAGCGCGGGGTTGGTGCTGCCGAGCCTGGGCGCAGCCTTTCCCTCGCTGCGGGCGCTGGCTTGCGGGCGGGAGGGGCCCGTACTGCCCCTCTCTCCGGACCCGGGGGGGCAAAAGGCCGCGCTGTGCGCCCGCGTTCCGCCGCGTGAGCGGGCGGTCCCGCTGCGGTGTCGTAAGGTGTCGGGGGGCTGTGGAGCCGGGGCCACTGCGCCACAGTACACGTTGTTTGTATGTGCGTGTATGGACAAGAGCGTGTAAACATACACATTCCGTTCCGACTCGTTGCTGCAGGGGGGTGAAACGCGCTTGGACTGTTGTGGATGCAGCAGCGCGGCTAGTTTTGTCCATTCAGTTGAAAGTCTGTGTTTATTTAGGGGGACTAAGGGAAGAAGCTGCAGTTTCGTAATAAAGCGCTAGTAAGCCTTCTGACGGTGCCCTGGCAAGTTAGGGGGACTGTAAAATAGTGGGAACCTTCATTTTGTATTCCTTTAGAGGGAAAAAAATAGTAAATGAGAGGTCGGTTGCTTTTTCAAGATTTTTTGCACGTAGTGAAGAGATGGACATACATTCAGGAGTTACACGGTTAGATTTGATCAATGTAATTTGCAGAGAGCAGCCATGTTTTTTGTTAGGCTGGGTGAGTGCCTGAGAAAATCACTTTTCCAGAGAAAGAAGGGAGATTCAGGTTAGACATTAGGAAGAAATTGCTCACAGTATGAGGGCAGTGAGGCATTGGCACAGGGTGCCCAGAGAAGCTGTGGCTGCCCCATCCCTGGCAGTGTTGAGGCCAGGTTGGATGGGGCATTGAGCAACCTGCCCTAGTGGAAGGCGTCCCTGCCCATGGCAGGGGGTTCGTACTGGATGATCTCTAAGGTCCCTTCCAACCCAAACATGCAAAATTTGTCAAATGTATATCAGCCTTAAAAAAACAGCAAGCAGCCCCTTCTTCCTGACCACATACTAAAAAGCAGACAACAAACCACCACCAACACAACAATTGTCCCCCCGAAAGTAAGCCAAAACCTTGTAAATCTTTGGTCTGGGCTAACTATGTAAAACTTGTGGCCTAAAAAGAATGTTCTTAGAGGTGCCAGGAGTAGGTAGAACACAAAAATTATATTATTTAGCAGTGTAAGGTTACTTTTTAGGAGTGTAAGGTTACTTTTCAGCAGTATCCTTCATGAGACTGTGTTAAGAAGTTTTACTCTAACCAGAGTTTTACAACACTTGTAAGCAGCAGTGATAATGTCTGGTGTAGGCCCCATTCTCACTAGGTGAGCCCTGCAGAAGAGCAGCTGGGGAGAAGTTACAGAGTTAGGCTCTGATGGCAACAATCAAGGCAGATCTGGATTGGCAAAAGTGAGGTGACTTTTGGTAACGTTATGTAGTGAGTGAGCAACACACAGCAGTGAATGCTGGGCTTCCAGAGGTGCCTTTCATCTGGTTACAGTTGTGATTGCTTTCACAACTTCTTAGAAAAAATTGATGAAGAAGATAAAAGATGTATGGGAAATCAAGAGAAAGGGAGGTTAACTCACCTGTGTGTGGTTACAAGTTAAGGCAGAAGTATTAGAAACAGACACGTAAACTGTCCCCCCTGAGTTTTCTTTCTGCTCTCCTGCTCTGCCTTTGGGATGTTTGCCCGGAGCCACATCAGGGTTTCTGTGACCACATCTCAGTATGTGCTGAGATGAGGACTGTTGTGCTCTAGAGAGAAACCAAGTAGTGTGCTCATGGAACAGAGGGAATGAAGTGCTGAGAATTGTCATGGTTTGTCTTCTGTGATGAATGTATTCTTTAAAAAAGACAGACTACATACAGGAGTGCATTTGGCAGGTGTGTGCCTCTTCTCCCTGCCTGCTGTAGGGATATTTTCCACGTTGAGTGCAGTTGTGTATGAGCCAGATAGAAATGTTCAGTGCTGTGTGTGTGTATACGTATGTGTATGCGTGTGTATTTAATGGCTGTGTTTTGTGGTACTACTTAGTAAGCTTTATATACAGATTGTATGATTGTATTTTGGTTTCTCAATAGGTCTGGGACAAAAGCGAAAATGGGGATTGGCACTGCACAGCCAGCTGGAAGGTTTGTATTTATACAATTTACACAGTTATAACCGTAATCTCTCCTTGTTTTTTAAAGAAACAGGCTTAGTTTTTGCTGACTTGGAGAGTATAAATATTTTTGTTGTAGATCCTGTATTTCTTATGATAAAATACTTTTTCTCTGCTTTTATAAAACATCCCTAATGCCTCTCACTTGAAGCAGAGGCTATCACATGGTCTTATATTATTAGTACTTTATTATGTTGGCAGACTTTGTTATCAGCAACCATAGGCGTAACTGGGTGTTTAAGGAGCTGGAAAACCATACTTTGGGTTTTAATTGAGTATTTGCTTTTTGCGTATTGTAAGACTAAAAAAAAATAAATTAAAAAGGACAGAAAAAGAATAAAAAGGAAGAGGTCTGGCTATTAAACGTTACAACATCAGACCTTTCCATCCCAAAAATCTCCAGCTTTCTGGGAGCTGTGTCTTATAGAGACTCTACTTCATCAGTATAATTAGTGCATTCAGCTTCTGAACTATCCTTAGCCTTGTGTTTAATAGGATCACAATACAGTAATCCCTGTAAATGGAAATGCGAGTGAAGCGTTTGAATTCGCCTTCTCTAAAAACAGGCATTAGGTTGATGGCATCAAAGAGGAGTTTCATGTAAATAAAGGAGGAGATAAGTGACATTCTGCGTATGCTTCGGAGAAATGCAGGCAAGCCAGAAGTGAGCATGGTAAAGGCTGAAGACTGGAAACAAAGCTGTATTACTTGTATCAAGAGAGAATCTTAGTTTGGAACTTAGGAGTTTGAAGGAGTAATAAGTAATGTCTTGAAATACACTTCTAATAATCCCTTTCTAACCATTAACTAATAACAAAACTTTGCAGTGCTTGTAGGAGTAAAAAAAATGTCACAGCTGCTGTGTTAGCTTTGAACTTCACAAAAGAATGTGGGTATCAAAGGAATAGTCTTACTGCTTCCTAGGATTTACTTCTGCTTCCGCAGAAAGTCATAAAAGTACACGATCACTTGCACTAATACACAGAGTGTTTCCCTGTAATGTTTTGCTGTTATCTTGCAGACACATAGTGGATCTGTGTGGCGTGTGACATGGGCCCATCCTGAATTTGGGCAGGTCCTGGCTTCCTGCTCTTTCGATAGAACAGCAGCTGTATGGGAAGAAATAGTGGGAGAGTCAAATGATAAACTCCGAGGCCAGAGTCACTGGGTGAGCCTTTAACGCCTTAATTACAGTTTCTATATGTTCTCATATAAACAGATTTATTATGCCTCATTGATTTATTTTCTTATTGTAATAGCTGAAGCTTTACACTGTTTAAATTCCAGAATTAAACAGAAGAGTGAACATGAAAGTTGTTCTAAATACCAAGTTACTTTCTGTTCCTCCAACAGGGAAAGCAGGCAGCTTCTGTCTCTTTATATAAAACCTTCATGTTGCCAATGTTTTGTTACTTTGTGGCAGTATTCCAGTATAGAGTAACTATTTTTAAAGCATTTGGGGAAGATGTTAAATGGCTGCATTCAAGCTAATTAGTGACACTACTTTTGGCCTGCCTTCATAAGATGTTCCCTGGTGAATAACATGCAGACATGAGTTTCCATCTACAGTAGCATTAGAGTTGTGGGGTGTTTCTTCTCTGAGAAGAGCTCATCTGAAACTGCCTTACACTGTTCTTTTTCATCTTTCAAATGATAGGTCAGGCCTTGGGAGGAAATAGTTTGCTGGGAAGTGGATTTTCTGGGTAGCATTTCATCAAAGGAATTGTAGATCTAAACAGGTTATTTTGCAGCTATTCTTCATGCATAATCTTGTATAACTCAGCACACTATTCCTGCCTCTGACGTTTCGGTTTAGGTTGCTAAAATATCTGCAGCTTTCTACCTTCTTCTAAAGTTTTCTAACATTAAAACACATAGTTGTGAAGTGTTGGGTAGTCGGGACCTTTGGCACCCAGTTCGGTATGAAGGTTGACTACTATGTATACAAGGCAGTTGTGATACATAGTTTTCAGCTCAAACTCATGTTTGCTTGGCAGAAGAGACAGCTGGAGACACACATTTACAATTTTTGCCTCTTCAATCCTGGCTAACCTTCCTATCAACTGTCTGCTGTATTCACCCATTCCCTTATCAGAAGTACTTGCTTTGATGCCTCTGTTGGACAGTACTTCATGGTAAACTTCAGCAGCACTGATGAAATTAGAAAGTGGCGCTCCAGTTCATTGGTGTCTAAAAATTGGGGTTTTTTTGTTTAGTTCTTGGTGGAAGAAATAAGTGATCCTATGAAGTGGTGTTGTGAGACTTTCATTAGCCTTCCTTAGGGAATAAATATTTGATGGGAATTTCTAGCATTTCCTTCAAGACTGTCTACCCTTTTTTTTTGCAGGTAAAGAGGACCACTCTAGTAGACAGTAGGACATCTGTTACAGATGTGAAGTTTGCTCCCAAGCATATGGGTCTTATGTTAGCAACCTGTTCAGCAGATGGTGTTGTAAGGATTTATGAAGCTCCAGATGTTATGAATCTCAGCCAGTGGTCACTGCAGCATGAAATCTCATGTAAGCTAAGCTGCAGTTGTATTTCTTGGAATCCCTCAAGGTACGTCACTAAAACTGTAGGTTTTGCTTTGTGACTGTTTAAGCAGAAGATCCAAAGAGCTAGTCTTGAAATTTTGTAGAATTAATCATAAAACATGCATGGAGAAGACTGAGCTTACATTACTTGGATCTGAAAGAAAGCTGTTAGCGCTTATTTTAATAAAGCAAGTTTGGCAGAGCCAGAGAACTGTTAGAAGAAATCCCCTGTGATCTGTGAGGAAATATTTCCAGCTTAATTATTTTTAGGAAATAATAAGCTAGCATTTTTTATTTATCCCACAAAACTTAAGTGGGATTTTTATAAGAGCAAGTGTTTATAATGGGACAATTCCTATCTCTTTCTTCCTTAATCAAGGCATTGCAATAGGTAATAATTTTGACAGCTCTAGTAAGGACATGCACCTTTGCCAGTGCGAGAGTACTAGGAACCACAAGTCTTGCTGGCACAAATATAAAGCCTAAGAGTTGTTCTTTTAGTTCTATCCCCAGGGCTCAATGATACACTTAACCACCTTGAACAGGAAGGAATCACAGAGGAGTTTGGTTGGGTAGTCCCCACCCAGAAGAGTAGGAATATGCAGAAGTTCTCCTTTGCTTTCCATCTCGCATTTTCCTCCAGCAGTAACAGGGAAAAACCATTCAGGGCTGAACTGCTTTGGATTGTGTTTGTCCAGAGGCACTTAATGGCCTTCCCTGTAGACATAGTGGGCTGTGTCCTGCTGATCCAGTTACTTTTCTATTCATTAGTAGTCACCTGTGCTGAGGGTTCAGAGTACAGGCTATCACTTTAGTGCATGGGAGGGACCTAAGAGTTGGTTTAAAAACCAGAGCTCATCTATATTTAGCTTTTATAATCTTCCAAAACCGTAATGAAATCCCACAAAATCAGTCATTAAAAGTAGTACAGAGAATGCAGGCCCTGCCATGAAACTTGTGACAAATACTTGGCTGCAGCTATGTATATAAAATCAGTTCTACCCTGGGAGCATCATTTTGAATTGCCAAATAATGTTCCTTAATGATTTTACCCTAGTGGGTGTATAAAATGGAACTGCATAGCACCTACTCATGTTCCTTGTGATTCCCCTCTGTTGTGCTTTATTTTTTTATTGTTGTAACTGTTTTGTTTTCTTTATAGATAATATGTCTGAAATTTAAGAAAACTGGCTTGGGGTACTTTCTGTGGAATCATTTGTAAATATAACAGTATTTATTTTCACTTTTTAGTTCTCGAGCACATTCTCCAATGATAGCTGTAGGAAGTGATGACAACAGTCCAAATATATTGGCTAAGGTTCAAATTTATGAATATAATGAAAACACCAGGTATGCTAAATTGCAATGTATAACATTTGTGGAATCTTAAAGTAATTTGTAATAGATGACCTTCAATTCTTGTCATTAGATGTGGAGTAGTAAATAATAATACCTTGATTCTGTCTCTGAGCCATTGGATGGGAAAGGAGAGGGATACCTCAGAATGGTAACTGGTGTTAACAGATACTGATAATTTTGTCTTGTCTCAGTATTCTTTCCAGCATTTTAAAGGGAGAGTTGTTTCTGCTTCTGCTAATTTTTATGCTTAATTTTTCAGAAGAAATTTATAGGGCAAAGTTGAAATTTGCATTGTGTTGCACAAGTTTTGTTCAAGGCAACCTTAAAATGCATATTTATACTGACAGACTGTCTTGTGGATTTACTAGTGTTCTGTCACAGTTCAGTTTGTGCAGTTAGGAGTTCAGAACCAGGAAAGGTCAGGAAGTGTGTGCACAACCAATTTTGATTGAATGATGACAGAGAGCTTGCGTTTCCCTCAGGGTGATTGGTGTGGGAAAGGAGCCAAGGTGTTTTGTGGATTTGTACCTGGCTTCAGACAATGCTCTCTGTGCACTAACGGTAAAAAAGAGTTCTTGTAATTTACCTGCTGGTAAATAAGAAAATGGAATACATGTTTACCGTACAGCGCAGGAGGCCAATAGTGGTCTGTTTACAAGTACAGAAAATACAGTAAGTTGAGATACAAATTCCCCATAGATTTGTGAATGGAAGAATCTTTATTTCCCTTTTCCAGCTCTAGACAAAAAAGTTCTTTCTACTGGAATCCTTGTTTTGTTGTATGATTTAGCATACTGTTTGTAGTTATTGTGTCTGATGTCTTCAATTTCTGAAGAAATCAGCGTGTTATTATTACTTATTTTAAGAAAATGTTAGTTTTGCAAGTCTCATCATGTATACTAAACCCTTTTTCCTTGTTTCACTCTGGTTTATATAATTTGTATTACTGGCAATTTTCATGGTGTTAAAGGTTCATTTCTTATGCTGTACAGGAAATATGCCAAAGCAGAGGCTCTGATGACAGTCACAGATCCTGTACATGATATTGCCTTTGCTCCAAATCTTGGAAGATCCTTCCACATCTTAGCTGTGGCAACCAAAGATGTCCGAATTTTCACACTAAAACCTCTAAGGTGAGTTCAAAAGGAAGATGGTTTGGTATGATGTGGTGCATACTATATAGTCTTCATTAACAGTGTGAAGCAAAAGTAGTAACCTGTGCAGGACTGTGTTTTAGCAGCCTGATTTTTAAGATTACAAGATTGTGAGCTAGTCTATAATTTTGTCTGAATACCTCCTAATTTAGTAATGATTGTAATATAAATCGCCTTGAAAGATGTCCTCTTTTTGCCATCATGTTCAAGCCCCCATCTTTGAACAGTTGTGTGCAGAACTGTCACTTTTCTCTTAAACAGGAAAGAGTTGACTTCATCTGGAGGATTAACAAAATTTGAAATTCATATTGTGGCCCAGTTTGATAATCATAACTCCCAGGTGTGGCGAGTGAGCTGGAATATTACAGGCACAGTGCTTGCTTCCTCTGGTGACGATGGCTGTGTCAGGCTCTGGAAGGGTAAGACCACTATCTGAAATACATGAGCTTTATAGTATGCTGAATAGACCTGAAAAATTTTACTCCAAAATAATATTGTAGCAAAAGTTCATTCTAGATTTGTGAATGATAGCTTTTCATATTTCTAAATAGCTTTCTGTGCTGGAACATCTGCATGATTTAGGCTGCTGTGAATTGTTACTGTATCCTCATATTGTTTTACCAGGTTAGAGCTATGTAAAGTTATAATTTCTAAAGTTACTGTATGTCCTGCATTATTAGCTTTGCTTGCTGCCAAACCCAGAAAACCTACATTCAGTCACGGTGTTCAGTCAAACTGACTTTTTTCTGTTTAAATTTCCAAAAGCAACAACAAACAACAGGGGCAGTTTCATCATCAGTTCTCTTTTGTTTCTCAGTATTTTAAGAAGGAAATTCATTCTTGCTACTGAACAAAACTGAGCTTGAAATCATGGGTAGGCAGAGAATGTCAGCTGAAACATCATAGTTGTATCAAAAGCTGAGCTTCAGAAGAGAAACTAACAGTGTTTATGTATGTGTATTTGCAGCTAATTACATGGACAACTGGAAGTGTACTGGTATACTGAAAGGTAACGGGAGTCCAGTGAATGGTAGTTCTCAGCAGGGAATTTTTAATGCCTCTCTAGGTTCTGCCAATACAAGTCTACAGAATTCACTAAATGGATCATCTGCCAGCAGGTAGGTTCATTAGTAGGGAGACTGAATTTCCACAAGTAGTTTCTGAATCTTCCTATTTTCATTTAGCTTTCATGTTTGTTTTATAATAGTTGGGTTTTTTGGTTTTGTTTTTTTTTTAAAGTGCAATGTCATTTATATGAATACTTCTACAAACTTTTCTGTTTTTGCTCTGTGATGGTGTCTTATGCCAGTGTTAAGAGGAAAATGAACAAAACTATAAGCAATACTGAATCAAGGAGAAACTTCATCATACCACTGTATGACTGTATGTTTCTGATAGGTGTTTAAAAGTGAAGCAAAACCACCAGCAACAAATTCTGCTTTTCACTGGGATAATGTAGTAGAAAGGAAGGAGGAGAACAGGGTTCTTCATGTAGGGTTTCAACAGTCATATGCTAGTGTTGGTGTACTTGCATTTTTGCAGGTGTAACATCATAGAATAGGGTTGGAAAGGACCTTAAGATCATCTAGTTTCAATCCCCCTGCCATGGGCAGGGACACCTCACACTAAACCGTGCCAGATGCTAAAAGTTTGGGGTTTGTTTGTTTTTGGGTTTTTTTTTTCCTCATGGCATTCTTATTGCAGATTAATTTACTTTCTCATTTTTACTCTGTAATAATTGCTGTTTAATAGGTAAATTGAAGTGCCTCTTCTGAACACCATTTTAATTTGTTCACATCACAATCTAAAAATACACTGAGCCCCACATTTGTGTGGTGGAGTGTGCACATCAACTTTACAGGATGTGTCCTTATGTAAGGACTAGATCTGGTCAAATTCCATAGCGGCAGCTTCCAAGTCTTGTGGCCAACTTTATTTACTTACGTTTTTTCCCAAAGCCTTGCAATAACCTGTATTACCATCCATATGCAGCTGCTAATAGGGCTTTTTACAGTTTAAATTGCTGACCTGTTTGGTACTACGACAGTTAGCTTTTGGAGAGTAGAAGTCTTTGCCCCACCTCTTTCAGCAGTCAATCCTGAACAACAGTTCTGGCTTCCAGATCCCTGGCTGCACTGATCAGGGAAGGGCTTTCACATTTTTCCCACAAGGTAAATGGGAGAGCAAGAGGGGGTAATGGGCTAAGTCTTTAGCAAGATGGGAGGCCAAGAAATGCTGAAATGCAGACCTGTCTTGGAAATGTGTCATCCAAAGCTATGTAACTATATTTCTTTGAGCTCCTATAGGGAGATACTATTTATACCTCTTTAACAGAGGGTGTGGTTTCACAGTCTCCTTACCTAACACTGTCGTGCTGTCAGCAATGCTACTCTACTCTACGTACCTCACTCACTGGCTGGTCTTGTCGTCTCCCTGGAATTGGTAGTAAGCCTTTGTGAAACTGAAACTTCCAGTATTACTTTAGACTTCTTCAATTGCTCTTTATTTTGAAAGTTTGGTTTTTTTTTAATTTATTTATTTTGTTTTCTTTGCTTTTTAATAGATAGTTCTCAGCTCCAATTTGGAATTAACATTTTATTACAGAATTCAGTCTGTGGCTGCGGAATTTCAAAACATGTGGTGTCTTGCCCTAGGATTGAGCCTTGCTGTAAAAATTACAGTTATACGTTTTCATTTGTAATCACTTTGGCTTGAATTGCGTAATCACAGTTGCTAACTTGTGGTTTAGTGTGTTAACACCTATAGTAAAGATTTCTGTGCTGACATTTGACTGAATTGATATGCTACACAGAATTAATTTTGTCTGTGATTGTAAATAGTATGTTTCAGTGTCTGTATATCTAAACGCTTAAACGAGGTAAGGAAAAGCATAGGCAGAACTGGAAAACTGTAAAAGTACAATCACCAAACTGGAGTTGTAATCAAAACAGTTTTATAACAAATGATGTAGACTGTTGGAAAATAGCTCAGAAGGGCTGTATTGTTATGTTGATGTAATTGTGTGTCTAGATTTATGATACAATTTCCATTCTCCATTTGTATTATGTCCTTTTTAACAGAAAGCAGAGCTGATACCAAGCTAACTGGAGTAACTTTGGTGTTTTGCTGCTTGTTGCATGCACACAGGAATGGAAACCGAACTCCTTTTTCCCCTCCCCAACGCCGTTTGACCTCTCCCAAGACACCAGCACCTGCTAACTACTAAATGCTATTCAGAAAGCCTTTTTAAAACACCTCATGTACGTTTTTTCTACTAGGCTGTACAATTTGATTCTGTTGGAACTCCTGATAGAAAAATACATGGAGAGGCTTCTTGTTTGGAAAAAAACCCCACAACCAAGCAACCTAAACCCAAAACTTCCATCTAAACTTTTTTTTTTTTTTGAAGCTTGTCAAATTAAAAGGCTAGTTCATAACTAAAAAATTAGATTTTTTGTCCTGGATTGGGACAGGAGGAGGGAAGTAACTATTAAAGTGATTTTTGTTAAAATTGTTTTGAGAAATAATCTGTTTTGCATTTCATAGTGTTCAGCATTTGATTAAGATTCCTAAACATGACAAGTTTGTATGCTATGTAATATATGCAACTGTTAGTTTGAAGGGATTAAGAAAATTGTGTTTTGACAACTGTACAGATGGTAGCTTTTAATAGTTTGGTATTGCTTCATTTGTACCTTAGTATGACTTCAAATAAATGTTCTGTAAGTACTGTCATACTTTCTTTATCCTAAGAAAAGTACTCTTTCTGATGTGTATTTGTACATTCCTATGGTAGTAATTCCATGGAGTAACTGCAATTCTCTAAACATAGTATCCTAAAAAATGCAAACACTTGAGCCATACAAAGACTGAAACCAAAATGCAGCTTTTTGTGAATTGCCCCATAATTTCATTAATCATACAGCTGTTCCTTTATGTAAGTCTGCAGAACTGTAAACAAGACAGAAAACATCTGTAGGTATGTGGTAATACTAAAATGCATGAGTATTACGGGTAAATTCTAATAAAACCAGCAGAAAAATGACATGAAATGGCAGAATTTCAAGTCTTGCATTCACCAAGAATCTGAAATTTCCTCTGAGGATTTTGCAGAATATGTAAATACATGCAAAGACTGTATCTCACTGAAAGTAGTTATTCTCTGTAAATATATATTATAAAATCTAAAGTATTGTAAGAACAATGATGTTTTTACGTCTATCCAGAAGTGCTGTGAAGTTAATCTGAATTAGATGCATATGCAGAAAATGTACCTAACAATATTTAATGTATACTTTGTGTCGCAAATGAAGCGTTACTAAAAGCTGTTACAAAATCATAAAAATTATGGGAGAATGAAAGCCTGTTCATAGCTGTGCTACACCATCCTTTTGAATTCCAAAGCAATATTCTCTGTATAAATGTATACTAGGGTTATTATTACGGTATTTTTTTCTATGAATTTTGGTGGGAAAAGACTGTATTATTTTCCTTTAAAGAACAGTTTCCAGATTTGTCTTGTTTTGAATTACAAGCCTTGATTTCTGCTATTATGTTCTATTGGTTTTGGCATGGATATATACTAAAGCCTTTTGGTTTGGTTTTATTTTTTCCAGCATGTGTTCTCCCCTTTGGTTCTCCTGTATTTACTACCTTTCTCTTTTTCTTGTTTTGTTTTTGTTTGTTTTGTTTTTGTTTTGGTGTTTTGTTCCTTTCTTAATTGTTTCAGGTATTTCTTTCCCCCTCTGGATTCCCCACGGGCTGGGTCAAGATGGTCCAGTCATGCCCAGCTCCTTCCTCCTCCTCCTCCTCTGATAGAGCACTCTTGCGATGCTGACACTGCCAACCTCCAGTATCCTCACCCTCGCAGACGATGTGTATCTCGGCCTCTTAGTCTATTACCTGAGAATGAAGGGGTTTAACATGTTACTTTAAACTCTGAAGGGCCTTATTCGGGTGTTTGTGAATGCTTCCATTTCTAGCTGCCTTCAAATTTCTTCTCATGTACAGAAGATTTAAAAAAATTTGGGGACTTTGTGCATGTTTGCAAACCAAACTACAATGTTTGGACCATGTTAGTTATGTATCAAAGGAACATTTTGATCTGTACCCTTTGAACTATGGCAACACATACAAACAGTATTAGCCATGAGCTATTTATGGAGTAGCTGACTTAATGTGCCTGTCTTTTTTTTTTCTTTCTTTCTTTTTTTTTTTTGTTTTTTAATCAGCTCAGTATGGGTTATTTTTTTTTTCGTTTTTGTATATTGCACCAACAAATGTGAAATGTATTTGTAGATTCTCAAAATTAAACATGCCTTCAAGAAATTCTTGAGAACTGAAGGATGATAACTGGATCACCTCACAAAAGCAAAACCGTTCCTGTGTATACTGCAGCAAAATAATTTGGAGTGTTTGGTTACTTAAAAATTTTCCATCTTGCTGTATAAATATTTAAATTTTATAATTGTGATTGATTAATAAAGTTATTCTAAAAGGTCTTAGCATGCTTTTTCTTGCAATAGTTTTGTTGTTTTGGTTTTTTTTTTAACAGGCTTCTGATCAAGGAGATTTTTTGATTCAGGTGCCTATTCTCATAGCTTTGCTGTCAGGAAGTCATCTGCCATTCTGTATATGCAGTTGCATATAACATTTTTCTGCCACAGGATGTGCTCTGACTTTTCTCATGGGTGTGTTGAAGATGTGCAGGTACTACTAGAGGAGTTGGATTTCAAATTATCTCATAATTCTTTTCCAGTGATTGAATAATTCACTTCAGACATTGTGAAGAAATAGTACTGACTTAAAAGATGCCTTTTTTTGATGTGTCAGCACAGGAGCTGCGAGTCAGCGTGATGGCATTGCCTAAAGGTTTGGCTGCCACAAGACAAATGGGAGGATGAAACTGGACAGCAAATTACATGGTATGGCTAGGGAATAGCATTACTGTGCAGGCTGAAATTGCTGAGCTTGTTCAGCAGATCGTAGTGGGAGGAGGCATAAAGGTGGGCTCTCTGTAGCAGAAATCCAAAGTATAATATTGTGTTTCAATGTGCTTCAACACACATTGGAACAGCTTGCCCAGAGAAGTTGGGGCTGCCCCATCCAAGGACAGGTTTTGTCTTAAACCTTTAAAGGGTCACTTCCTCCCTTTAACACAGCAATGGATCTTCTTGCTGCACTTGTCCAATAAAAAAATATGGTGTTCCTTCCTAAGCAACCACCAAGAAAAGCAAGGTGGCTGTAGCTATATATGCTGCTGCTTCACAATGGTAAAAGTTTGTGCTATGAGACCCTACAGTGCCTGTTGGATGTACCTCCATTACTGCAGTGTAACAAAAAAATAGGAAAATCTATTCAAAGACAAGTTTTTACATATTCTTGATGTATATGCCAGATCAAAAAAAGGAAAGACTCCTGCTTGCCTTTCTTCCCGCTCCTTTGAATTTGCTACTGTTACTCTTTTGGAGCCCAGAATAACCTGTATGATAACAATAAAAAGCTGCAAAAAGATTTAATGCATTTGTTTATAGTTAGTTCAGCATGGTCACATTATTTTCCTCTGTGCTGAACATGTATTATTAGATATCCTGATGAATTCCAGTCACACTTCTTAATAATGGAAACATTCTGTTACAGTTCCAGTGAAAACAAGTCCCATTTCCAACAGACTGGCCAAGTAGCTTAACTTCAACAATTGAACTTAGGCTGGTTTTGTGGCTGATGCTTGCCATTCCCCTGCCTACCATTTTTCACTGATGTCTCTCCAAACTAGGACTTGTCACTCCATGCTCATCTCTGCTTCCTCAAACTCACACTTCCCTCTTGCTCCTGTGACTCCAGACTGTGAACTGTACTGTGTAGGATCTGGGCCATCAAACATAAACAGCAGGACCATTAGAAGGGAGGGAGACTGGAAGGGCTTAGAAAGGGATGATTACAGCAGGTACTTGCAGTACTTTAAATTCATCTAGCATTCTGTAAGGCTGCTGTCCCTCTTCTGAAAGAAGATATGCATTATGCTATATATGTTAGGTGTTCAGAGCACATCTCAGCTTGGAATTCCAGGACTACAAGTTTTTGGGTCTTGTAGTAGCCAGGCGATGGCTTTTCTTTTTTGGTGTTTTGTTTTTTTTTTTTTTAATTTTTTTGTTTTGAACATACTTGAACACAGTATGACGTTCTGATGGCATCGAATGTGGGACTTTTCACTTTCATTCGAGCTTTATGCAGTCTCCATACTAGGAATTCAGCTGTAGAAGAGAACTGTAAAACCGTCCTGGAGTAACACTGGATTTGATTCAGGTCTTTTGAAGTCATCATACTCACATGCGTACGTTTGGAAGGCATCTTCTCATGCTCTACTTTAAACAGCACATTTATGCTTCAAAACTGAAATAAAATTTTCTACGTGTATAAATGTATATTGCTCAACCTCATGTAAGTGACTCATACTGCAACGATAGGATATAAAATAGTAATATAAACAGCACCATTCATATATATGTATATATATAAAACAAAAATGAGCTTTAGTCGTATTTACTTCTGTTTTACACGGCTGCGCCCTGACCCGGGGAGGCCGGTTAGTCACCACCGGCAGCACACCTCAGCAACCACAGCTCCCCTGGAAGATCCTGAGTTACCGCTATGGGGATTCAAACCTCGCCGCTCGGTAAGCAAATACCTGAAATGACCGTTCCCTTCGGACCGCCCGCCCTACCAGGCGCTACCACAACACTACCGGTACCGGGGGCAACCCCTCCGCCTCTCCTCAGCCTCCCGCCTAACGGACAGCGGGGAGGGGGGGGGGCGGTGCTGGGGGGAGCCTCGCGCCCCTCGCCCAATCAGCATCCCCCTCTCTCGTCTGTCTCGTTCTCTCTCCAACGGCTAATAGCCGCCTGTGGTTGGGGCTCGCCCATTGGCTGGAGGCGGGGAGGGCGGGAAGGCAGGAGGGTGGGCGGGGCTGGCGCGCGCGGGCCCGGGAAAGTTTCGGAGAGCCGAGCGGCGGCGCTGCGCACGCGCCCAGCGCGAGGGTTGGTCCGAGGCGCGGGGAGGGGGAGTGCGTGTGCGTGTGCTGTTGTTTCTGCTGCGCGCCAGGTGAGCGGGGGTGCGCTGGGGGGCGCTGCGCGGGGAAGGCAGGAGACGAGGTACGGGAGGGCGGGAGCGGGACGGCGGGTGCGGGGGAGCGGAGCGGCCGTTTGAAGTGGCGGTTGGGCCTCGGTACCGTTTTCTTAGGCGAGTAGCGGCGGGACGCGGGCAGGGGAACGGGGCGTGGCGGGAAAGGGGTCCTTGGCTTCGAGCTGCTCCTCTTCCCTGCTTGCGCGGCGGAGACTGGCGACGGTGGCACCGCCTCTCAGGTGGAGCTGTTGTGGCGCTTCGGTCCGCGGCGGGTGGTGGTAGTAGAAGCGGTCGTGGTGCCTGAAGGAACCGCTGAGGCGGGGGGGAGGGCCCGGGCCTTTCGTGTTGAGATCTGTAGCGTTTTGCTGCCGCCTGCCAAGTGGCGGCCCAAGGTGATCGCGTCACGGAGCGTGTAGCTGCCCAGGTGGTCGCTGCTGTGGAAATGGAGGAAGCGTGTCTCAGTCTGAGCGGCTTTACAAGCTAAATATAGATTGGCACGTCTTGAAGCGTCGGTATTCTTAACTTGCAGGAGTACTGCTTCTTTTAGAAAGCACAAGGAAGTTATAAAACTCTGCCCCCTAAACGGCTTGGTAGGAGAGGATTGGAAGTGATTTTTAAGCACGCCTGTGGGTAAAGTGGAGTGATTGCCAAGGACCGCTGGGTGTGATATGTAATTAACGTATTTTTGACAGCACTACTGTGGCTTGTGTAACTGTACAGTTGTTTTGTTCCTTCTTTCAGATGCTGCTGGACCGGGGCTGATCATGTTGCCAGGCAGAGTGCTATTTTAAGCAACTTGTGCAGGATGATGGAAAACTTCAGAAATATTGCCGATGAGACATTTCCAAGCTTCTTGGGCCATTCACTGAATAGCAGTGCAAGTGTCATTCTTGAAAATGTTACTGTTTCCTCAAACCTTGGCTTACCTGTTGCAGCTTCAACTGTTGCCAGGAGTAAAACAGGCTGTGACAACAGGTGAGACTGTCAGTTAATACTGCTTGATAATACAAAACCCCCCAGTTGGCTGGTTTGAAACATGAAGTTGTGGCTGCCTCATCCCTGTTAGTGTTCAAGGCCAGGGTGAGTAAGGCTTGGAGCAACCTGGTCTAGTGGAAGGTGTCCCTGTCTGTAGCAGGGGATTGGAACTGGATGATCCCTAACGTCTCTTCTGACCCAAGCTGTTCTATGATTTAACTTTGGAAAAGAAAAATTCTTCTGACAGATTATTTGGTAGATGATGAAACTGTTTACTAGCGTACTAATCAGCAAACACAGGATTGACTGTATTAGCAGTGAAGAATCTGTGTTAAATTCATAACTCATAAAATACTTTTATTGACTTGCTCTTTAAACGAGTAACTTAGTTTCTGGACTAATGAGATAATAATCAGATTTCTTTTTGCTGGACTCTTTGGCTTAGTAAATTCAAGTTTGATGTTATGTAGAGAGTAATATATTTTTTATGTATGTGCTCTCTTAACTCTATTAACTTTTCATTTAGCTTACCTGAATCTGACTAATTTTAGATGGGGTAATGTGAGAACTAGTATTATGGATGTGAATTGAAGTTTAACACAATTTATAATGATTTGTTCAACAAGGATTAGAGCGAAGAGTAATAATAAGAAGCCTTTGTGCATTTAAGTGCTGTCCTATGACTTAACAAGAACTAAAATCAGTCTTTTGTACTGGGACTTTCCAGAAGTGTATGTTCCAAATGCGATAGCATTAGCCACTAAAAATGATAATGTGGTATTTCTCTAAAGAAAGGAGAAGAGAGGATCCTTCTTTCTACAGGAGACTGGAGAGGGTCATTCTGGATACATGTTTATACCTGGAAATACAGATTTTCTAGAAAATGCTAAAATATCCAAATAATTGAACTTATAGGAGATGGGTGGCCATCAATATGTTTGTTTGTTTTTTCTCTGGTTCTTTGAAAACAGGAGCAGTGCATATTAAAGTGATTCTGTTGTGTATTTTTCTTCCCCACCTTTACAGGCTTTCTGATATCTCTGCATCCTATTTAGAAGGGAAACCATCACCTCCATTAGGATCTCCTCACAGTAGTCAGTCAGATCCTGAGCCAGTGGGGAGATTTGCCCTCAGCTTTTGTGATGACATGTAAGTGAGATAGTTAAAATCGAATTCTGTTCTGAAATGCATATACTAGTATATGATTTATATGTAATTTAAGCTAACTACAGAATACTTCAGAATTGTAATTGCGCACTTCAGCAGCAGCTTCTGTTGGCCTTTTGATGCAGTAAGTGGAGAGCTCAGCTGTGTATTAGCCTCTAAGCTTACAGTGTTTGGCAGCTTGGGCAGCTTTTCCTACTAAACCAGCTCCTCCATGACTTCTGAAGAGGGATAGTGGCAGACTGTGGAAAGGTCCTGTGCAGCGCTACCCCTTAAGCTGCACAGCCCTACATTAACATTGTGCTGCTGTTTAATTGACTAATTTGGCTTCATGTATATGACAGGAATGAATCTTTAGAAGTGATTTTTTTTTGTTTTGTTTTTGTTAAACTATGATGATTTGTTTTGTTGTCACACTAAGTAAAAATTGGCTGGCTTGAATCTGGTTTGCCTTTACCTAGTTTACATTACACAATGTAGAATTAAGCTGATGTTTCTGATTCATGTCATGTGTGTGAATAATAGTTTACACTGATTTAAATCTCTTCCAGCTAAGTGTAACGTAGTTTGCATACAGAAAGGAACATCAATTCGTATTAAATTTACCTTCCTTTTAGCTTTGGTGATTGCTAATTTTTCTTAGCAAATAACACATGTTAGTGAAATAGTTTAGAGAGCATTGCTAAATGGTGGAAGTGTTGGAAGCTGTTGCGTAGGTTATTCTGACCAAGGTCAAATTTGTTCTTGTTGTAGTAGAAAATGCAATGTGTGTTTTTCTCACTGATAAAATTGTACTGTAGGCAGTATGTTCCTGTAAAAACAAAGAATGTGAGATTTCGGAGAGGGAGTCAGTGTCTTGATTGTCCTCAAGAAAAAAAAAAAAACAAACATGGAATAATTGCACTTTAGACTTTCAAATGTTAGTAGTGTTCAAGGCCAGGTTGGACAGAGCCTTGGGCGACATGATCTAGTGTGAGGCGTCCCTACCCATTGCAGGGGGATTGGGACTAGATGATCTTAAGGTCCTTTCCAACCCAGACCATTCTGTGATCTGAAATATTAAAAGTGTGGTTTCCTCAGAACAGAATTTTAACGTCTTGCATGATAAGCTTATTTGCCAGTGTGGAAGTCCCATGAAACCAGAAGTGAAAACACTTTCCCACAGAATTATAAAACCTGTTATTTAACAGACCTGTATGTAATTTCAGTAAATCATGTTCTTTATGATTTAGTCCCTTATTTAATGTTACAAAAGGTGTGCTGGTATTATGGAATTATGAAAATCTTGTCCAGGGTCTGACTTGCTCTCAAATGGATTATGGAACTTGCCTAGAATAGACCCTTTTCTCCTTTATACTTTTCCCTCTTTTTTGCAGAAATGAAAAAGAAAGGAAGAAACAGAAAAAGTAGAGAGGCATATGTCACTAAATTTCCTCATTTGTTTCACACTTTATATTGTGGAAGTGAAGCCCTTGTAATCTTGATGTTTATTCTTTTTTTGTAAAGTGACAGGTAACATGTCTGTAGAATCTTTATTAATGGGAACAGGGGAATTCCTAGATACAAAGCCAATTAAATCGGAGAATTTATCAGATCTTTATATCTAGAGATGCTGTATGCTAATGTTGATCTATATATCTTGCTGAGTGACTTTTCTTTGACATAATTCTCTTTCTAGGGAAGTTGCTACACAAGTTAAAGAACCTCAGCCAAATTCTGTTAATTTGAAAAAATCCGACTCGATACCCAGAGGGCAAGATCAGAATGTCATTGAGCATTTAAGTCACAGTCAAGGTAGCTCACTTGAGGTGTTGCCACTTGAACGATCAAAAGGTATTAAAATTGGAGAAAAATGTCATTTGCTTTTTATGCTATAGGTGTCTTCTCTTGACCTGTTCACTGTTTCGTGGAATACTCTAAATGGGCTTTGAAAAAGAATCTCTTGGAGTTGACCAAACTGAAAACAGAGAAAGCTTGTGGGTGACCTTGTCTTCCTAGATTTCTTCCCAAACTTTGTACCTGAAGTACAAAGCTAGACAGGAAGCTGGTAAAAGTAGTGTTTGCTATAAAATACTAGTAGCTGGTAGGAATTTGAATTAATTTCAGAAACTTTACATGTGGAAAAAGTGCAAGTTGTTTTCTGCCCCTTTCAGCAGGAGTAAGTTTTTGAGATTATATTTTAACTGTCTCTTTTCTTGCCCTGCTCCAACCTGTAGTAGATTTTTAACTGCAGCTGTAGAAGCTGTAACCATGTTTTCCTAGTGACATGATGCATGAAAAAGTAGTTCAGAATACTTGCTGTGAAAACTGTTTTTTGAAGTAGAGAGTATTGGAAGCAATATAATATTCTATAACTTACTTTAAAAGTGTAGCTATTGATATTAAACTTGTTTGGGTTTTTTTTGCTAATGCCAGTTCTGTAATTAAATACTGCATGTTTCTTAAAATTCAGTAAATATACTTAGTAAATATATACTTTTAGCCATTACCCTTTTCTAAGCTTTATCTGAATATTTGTTTAGGTTTTCGTGAGGTGAGTATATTAATAATTTAATAGAGAATGTGTTCAGTTAGAAAGTACTGTGGCTTGTAATATAAATGGGCCCCTATAAAATACAGTTCTAACAGTGATGCATGGCTTCAGTCACTTATTATGATAGTCTTGAAGAAGTGGTAGTAACTATGGCAACAGAAATGATGCTTTGGAAAACAGTCTGCCCAGTTTCGATAGTGCCTGATTTTATTTAGTTAATTGGTTTTAACTTCTTGTTTATTCAATGTTTAGAGTTCTAGTTTGGAAATTGCTTTTTATTCCCATCTATTACTTAAAAATTATAAGCTTTTTTTGCTAAAATCTGTATGTGTATACTTAAAATGTTCTGTCTTGTGGGACTCACAACTGGCTTATGGGTGGTTATAACCCAAAAATGAGTGGAAGCTGCTTACAAGTTACCCACAAAAAGAATTGGCCCAGTAAGTGAAATACAACAGCGGAACAGAACACTTGTTCCTACCTCTGCTAGTTCAATCTGAACCTACTTCCTTTTCAGCACTGTGTTATAGAAATCCCTAAGGCAGTTATTGTCTTTCATAATTTTTACAGTTCTAGTGCTGATGAAGCCCTCCCTTGTTAATTACTCCCAGATACTTTAGATCACTATTACAAGAACATATAAACTTTCGTATTATGCTAACGTGTATGTTTTCAGGCTATTTTTATGGTGTATACCAAGACCTTTTAAGATGTTTGGTTTGCTGTCATCTAGAATAGTTAGCATCTAGTAGTATAACATAACATAATAAAATACTGCTTACATCACATTCTTTTGTTTCAGGTCTGTCAACTGGAATATGCTTCCTTCCAGACAATAACAAGGTGAAAGCTTTTCTAAATACAATGAAATTAAAGGTTTTCTAATGTTAGTCGTGTAATCGACTTAAATCTATGAAAGGAGGAGGGAAGGAATTGAAGTGTTTACTGTCTTATGTCGGGTATCCCTTAAATATGTAACAGTGCTGAATGTGTCATGCCTCTCTTTGCCTCATTTTGCAGATCACTTAACATAATTAGTACCATGGGAGCATGACTTCACCTAATTTTTCTCAGTTCTGAGAGCTGTTGTTTGCTTCTAGCCTCTGTTGTCTTGTAATCCTTTATCAGGACCTTACATTTTATCCCCATTGTAGTTTAGCCTAGCAAAAAGCCTTTTGGAAACCGAAGTAAACAGTATCAACCTTATTTGACTTGCGCCTGTACTTGTTAATTGGTTTGAGGAGTGTTAGTTCAGGTGTCCTCATCATTAAAAACTACACCATTTGTAGTAGGGGAACACAGTCTTCCTTCTACCTCTGTATGGTGTGTTGTGTTTATCCCACAGCTAGCAAATAGCTACAGGTATCAGGAGGCAGGGCTATACTTTGGCTGTTTTTATCTACTGTGTGTAGAGAAGCTGACAGTTATGGCCACAGATACAAGACAGACAGGAATGGGAGATCTCGTGGTGCTTATAGAAAATATGCCTCAAGCTGTAGCCAGATGCTGTCCAATACGTACTCCTTAATTTGTCAGCTGGTATTTGTTAAATTGATTTAGTTCTCTTCCATTTGATTTTTCTAGGGGCCACAGTGGTCAATGAGTTGCAGTTGACTGCTCACAGGCTGTCATCTGAAAACCATAATTCAAGTTCCTCTCAAATTCTTTACTTTCTGAACTTTTTTGATGTCTGTCAAAGATGAGGCATTTATTACAAAGAATGTGAGACTAAATCGAAGCAGATATTATGTTGTGCTGTTTTTAAAATCATTTAGGTATATAAAAGATACATTATTTACAGTTAGCTTGATTCAGCTGAAACTCTACTTTTTAAGTGATTTAATATGCTCATTTGAAGAAGCAGTGTTTTAACAGCACAGGAAAGTATTGAGAGTTGTCTGTACTTTGAAGTTGGGATTGCATCTTAATAAAAGGGGGAGTAAACTTTAATGCAATGGTTTAGTACTTTTTTGAGGTCTTTTAAATTTGGTGTCATTGGGATGCTTTTTCTCCTCTTTCTCCTTTATGATCCCTGTATTTCTTGCTGTTCCCATTCTGGAAGGTAATAGGCAAAAGTCCATTGGAACTAGAATGTTTGCTGGGATGAGTTAATTGTTATTAACTGAATTTATACGGTAGCTAGTAACTCATAGAAACATTTCTGTATGGATGCTTTTCACAGGTTGATCCGTCTGAACCATCTGAAAAACTGGTAGAGGGTGGAATCTCAAGTGATCACCTTAGCAATAGCCTTTCAAGTTTTTTGGAAAATGAGAAACTCACCTCTTTTGGAAGCTCAGAAGAAGATTCCACTGGTAAGTGTGTTTATAGCTCTGGGTAGCTGAGTCTAGAGTTTTGGCTTTATGTTATTGCATACTGGAGAAGAAAGGTTTTGTGTTACTGAAATATTTAATACAGGATTATGCTTGAACAGAAATTAGTATTAGGACTATTCAAACTGTTCACTGGGAAACTAGCTGTTTTAAAATTGTAATAGAAGTAGGTGAGTATGTGATTTGTCAGAGAAGATCACATTTGGAAGTTCAATCTAAAATAAACATCCATCCTGTTACTGTGAATCAAAAACACAGGTAAAAATGTGGGCATTTGTTCCCTAAAGTGGTAACCCGAGCTACAGTTTCAGTTCAGATTAATAGACTGTGGTGAAAGACATGTACATGCAGTTAGAATTAACCTTTACATGAGCTTCAGTTCAGCTCTCTAGATGCCACACATGCAGGTGAAACCCAAGTTGAAAGTCTAGTTTATGCTCAGGGACAAAAGTGAGAACTTGAGTTTTGTGTAGTAAAAAAGAGTTTCGAAGTTTCTCTGCCCTTCCAGTGGCTGCTGCTGAAGGACAAACATGCTGCTCTTTATTAATACACTTGACTTTGCACATAACCTGAAGGATGACAGAGTATGTTCTCAGATGCACCAAGAATGAGGCAGGCAGAGTGATAAATAGGTTTACTGCTCTCTTCAGATCAAGCAGCCCTGCATTCAAGTAGAGTTAATGGGAGTTAAAATGCTAGCATATGGTCATCTTGTTTTGCTGTATATCACTAGTTATGGGGTAAGACAATTACATACTTCTGTGACCTGATTATTTTTACCTGAAAACCATGATAATTCTACTTTGAGTGTATGAGTGTGTTGAGAGACTTAGTGTATTAAACATTATGGAGTTGCTATGAAAGTATGTCAGGTGATATTAAATGTCTGTGAAAGGTGAACAGGATATTTTCTTCTCTTCCCATAGATGATGATATTGATGATGAAGAGTTCTTTGATAACCAACTAGAAGCCTACTTTGAGCAGCTGATGCAACCAGAAGTGGCAAGAGGAGGCACTGACATACAGAAACTCTCAGAATGCTGTACAGCGCTGAAGCTTTCTGAAAATGGCTTACTTCAAGTAGGTTTAAAGTAAAGTTCAAAGCTCAGCATGTGCAATGGCAATTGACAAACCCAAATACTGTCCAACGGGTAACATATACAGCAAAGGATTATTTTTTTATTTTGAAGTTAGCAAATACATCTCTTAACCATAAACAGAGCTGTGTGAGTGAGCTGCTGACTTCCTCTGTTCACTTGGAAGGTTTTTCCTAGGCAGGGGAAAAAAAGAAAAATGAAAGAAGTTAGGGAGTTATTTTTGTATTTTTCTCTTCCTTGTAGTGCAGTTCTAGCAGCTGATTCACTGCTTGTTACAGAAGGTCTTGCTGTTTATGAGATAAGGTGGAATCAGGCAAGGAGCTGGCTGTCCTAAGAGGCATTGGTTAGGAAGGTTTGCAGCAAAGCCTGCAAGTTGCCTGTTATGGGGTCTTCTTTATTCAAAGGTTTCCCACCCCTGTCTAACCTTGCTCCTTGCACTTCTCTCTGTCCTGTGCATAGCTTTCTTCCTTCTTCTGTTAAGCATCTCTGTTAAGAGGTCTGTGTGCAGTCAATTCTGTTATGTGATCTTGCAAAGAGAGAAAAAAATCCTAAGCCCACAGAGAGGATTTCTGTCCCTTCTCTGGGATGATGGAGACTTGACCTCAGAGAAAGCATTAGGAGTATTTCCTTAAGATGGACTTTTTCTGCTGGACTACTTAATACTGCATTTCATGATCCTTATTATAAAAGTAAAAATTGCTTTTGGAGTTTTGGATTGATCAAGCTGGTCTGAGTTTAGTGTACCTCTGAGGTGTTCTCTCAAATGCTTTAAAGCATAAATGTTTCTTACACACCTTGCTTTCCATCTAAGCTTCCTCTGAGTAGTGTTTTTTAACGTGAGAGATGGTAAAATGTTTGTAGATAAGCATTTGGGATCCTCTCAAGTCCACTGAGGGAAATTATCTAATTAGTAACTAATCAGAAGTCTCTACAGCTACCATTGTTTTGTGATGGTATGATTTTAATTTTGGTTACCAGCTTCTGAGTGCAAAGAATTTTTGGTGAAAGATAAATCTCCACGGAATAAAGGTAATACCCATAAAATGCTTGCTTTATCCTGTCCTGTCCAGCCCCAGTAAGCTGATCAGCTAAACTGAAACTAAGGCTGTCTTTGGGTCTCATTTGTAACTTGTAATATCCAGGGGATGGGTCTATTGTCTGTGTAGGAATTGCTTCATTTTAGTCTGATGGTTCTGTGACAAAACTACTTTCAGTAGTTTAACTTGTTGCTATTTGTTATTAGAAGTACAGTTTTAACTCTGATTCTCTTTCACTTTTTGTTTTTGTAACTATTAATGTTACATGCTGGCACTTCTTTTCCGTCATACAACTAGTTTATACAATCCTTTTAATCACTGGTTTATTACCTTGCATAGCAAGGTCCAAGGTTTCATTGAGCATATAGCATCGCAGAGATTCTTTTTTCCAGGAGAGTAAGTAATTTGCTCAAATAATTTGTCACTGTGTGAGCTTGACCAGAACGGGGAAGTGTGATTGACTTGTATGGTTAAATCAACTGTAGCTTTTGAAATTTCCAGAATTTCCCAACTGATATCAGAGTTTCCAAGCTGTGGGAAGTGGTATGTTAACCCTGTAGAAGTAGTCTGATTGCTGATCTGTGGCTGTATGTGAAGAAATGGATAGGTGGCTGTTGAAAAGTGAGAATAACACAGCTCTGCTCTCTGATCTCAGGTCTTCTCTATTTGTGTAAGATGTCTGCACTTCATGGCCATTGTGTCTATGGCAGTGGGGTAGGTATAACAGGTTACGAGTAGGATTTGGAGTCAAGTAGAAGAGGAGGAGGGGTAGCATGGTGCTCTTGTTAAAAGGAATGAAAGGATGTGATAGGAGTAACAAGAGATCTTCACCTTCTTGCTGTGTATGCTCTTTGAGGCAGATGCATGCATGGATTGGCATAGCCGGGAAATATTGTCCTTGGTGGTGCTAGCAGCTAGAGATGCCTCTGGCAGTGGCACATGAGCAAACAAATAATAATAATCTCTTTACTAGAGATTTTTTTTTAACACTGTAAAAACAGTTGTAATTTTTTTCCTTATATTTGTTCTCATGTAACTTAAAGGAGAACTTTCAGGTTCCTCACACTTACCAGCCTGTGACAGGAGTAGACTCTGGAAATGCTAGTGATGAAGATGCACAAAATCAAGGGATAACTGGATGTCCTGTGCAAAGAGAAATGCTGCCCAGAGCAGTACGGCAACCGGTATGTGATGGAAATTGTCATTTGAATTTCTGTTTGTCACAGACAGACTGTAGAAGATGGCATTGTGTTTGAGAACATGTTAGAGGTTGAACTAACAACCCAACCTTTCTTAAAAGTAAAAATACCACTATGGTTTTATATATGTATAGTTTAGATATATATATTTTTTTAGAAATATTTTTCAAACATAGTTAATTTGGGCTAATTTGTACCTACAACTGTTAGCACAAACAGTTAACAACTGCACTTCTGACACTTTTCAAATTATCATTGTTTTCTAAGAATTCCATGGCTCCTGGACATGTGCTGGAACCCTGTGCTGCTGCTGAGTTGCAATTAGATTCACTTTATCTTCAGTGCAAGGACAGTCATAAAGCTGATGTCTCAGATGTTCTTCCAAAGCAAGAAATACAGTCCTCTCAGTGTCAGACTGCTGCTTCTGATGCCGAAGTACTACACGCATCAGGAGGATTTTTGGGGCACCACACCACTCCTGAAGTTCTTAATGCAAAAGCAGCTCAGACAGATGCCACTGAATGTGAAGTCAGTCTTCTTGATACTTACCTGTCTCCAACTGCAGACAGCTGTGAGAACATAAGTTTAGCTACAGCAGACAAAGGTTGGTTGTTTTAGATATCTGTATGATTGTGACCAGACTCCATTGCAGAGAAAAAGAAATAAAGTAATAAGTTAGGCATTTTGCTTTAGTTGTGCAAGATGGTAGTAAAAACCAATGCAGCATGAAAAAGGCTGACTTGTTTTTATTTAAAAAATTCTGACTGTTGTATATTGCACTTAATTGTTGTTATTTATTTGAATATGAAGAAGGCTGAGATTTGAATATGAAGATCGGCTGAGAAAGTTGGGGCTGTTCAGCCTGGAGAAGAGAAGGCTGCATGGAGACCTCATAGCAGCCTTCCAGTATCTGAAGGGAGCCTATAGGGATGCTGGGGAGGGACTCTTCACTGGGGACTGTAGTGATAGGACAAGGGGTAATGGATTAAAACTTAAACAGGGGAAGTTTAGATTGGATATAAGGAGGAAATTCTTTCCTGTTAGGGTGGTGAGGCACTGGAATAGGTTGCCCAGGGAAGTTGTGAATGCTCCATTCCTGGCAGTCTTCAAGGCCAGGTTGGACGAGGCCTTGGGTGGTATGGTTTAGTGTGAGGTGTCCCTGCCCATGGCAGGGGGGTTGGAACTTGATGATCTTAAGGTCCTTTCCAACCCTAACTATTCTATGATTCTATGATCAAAGTAGTTTAAATTTGTAGTTGCAGCAACTTTAGCTATATTGGTTTGGGGTTTTTTTTGTTGTTTTTTTTTTTTTTTTTAACTTGTTGCTGACTTCTGGCAAGTGAATGCCTTAATCTTAAAAACTTCAAGACTTTGCCATATTCCTTTTAATTTCAATTAACAGTGTGGCATTTGCTGTATCTTTCAGATGATGTACCACACAGCATTGTCTATCAAAATGAAGAAGGCAGATGGGTGACTGATCTTGCATATTACACTTCATTTGATGAAGAACAAGATTTAAATCTGTCTGAAGATGATAAAGTAAATGAGGAGTTCATTACTGGATGTATGTAATCTTTTTCCTCTTTAGTTAGCTGTTGTTACCTGTAATAGTGTTAAGCAAACTTTTTTCTTTTTTTACTTCTACAAATCAGTATTTGGTGTTGCAAAGCCTCCAGGCTTTAGATACAACAAATTATTTGAAAGCTGATGTTGATAATGATATCACTATTAGAAGTTATACCTTCTTTCCAAGTTTCCTACTCTTCCCATGTTCCTGTTTTGTTCTGTTTCAGAAAGCATTCTAATATATGTCACTGGTCCCTATTATATGAGCAAAAGTAAATCCTGTAGTTGTCATTTCCACAATTTTTCCTTTGGACTTTAATCATTATTACCCTTTCAAGAAGAGAAAACAGCAATCATATTCTGTCTTCCATGATGCTTACAAGACAGGAAATAATTGTAAAGAAGAAATTACTACAAAATCAACTAGAATGTGCAAAGAGCTGCTGAATTCACGAGCTGCTGAATTCACTAGCTGGTGTTTTTTTGAGAAGCCCTTGGGAATGTTTTGATGCTGAAAAAATGATACTGAAAAATGTCGGAGCTTATTAAAAGGCTTTATGGGACGCAGCTTTTAACTAATTCCAGGTCTTTTTGAACCTCTGTTTACTTAAAAGCTGTGCGTTTTCCTTACGTTATCTCAGACTGATCTTAGTGAGTTTATGCTTGTCATAGGGCTTGGATAATATGTGCGTATTCATCTGTAGACAGATGAATTCCTTACCAGCAAAATATCAGATTCAAGCAAAAGTATTTCTTTTAGATTCTAATAATTTCTCAAGTTTACATAGATATGAATGGGCTAATGTATTCTAAAGACATCCACAGTCCACTCAAGGTTTTTCTTTCTTTCAATGAGAATGCTGTATATGTTGCTGTGTAGAGTTGTTTATTTTGAATGATTAATCATCCAGGGCTGATTGGTTGAAATGTCTTTCAACACTGTAGTGGTTTTCTGCTGGAACAAGCAAATGTGATCCAGTTTGGTAGGAACTTCCCTATCTACCATGGCAGTAAAGCAGAGTTCCTCCATTATTTTTCAAAAGCCAGGATATTTCAGATGCTTTCCAGCATCTCAGGATTAACCTGAGGGTTGTTAAGTAGTTAGAATATTTGACTGTTGTAAATTTTTCTAAGGCTTCTTGGCTTGTTCCAGCATGATGGATTTTAAAAGCAGTTCTGCTTTTGAGCTATTTGACTTACCCCTTTATATGGTAGAAGACTTTCAGACTTTCAGACTCAGTATGGTTAGCATTTTTCTGGCTGCTAGTTTGCCTGTCTGTCTGCAATGCTCAAGTGTGATGCTTGACAGCTGAGAGATTTTATTTGTAGGGACAGAAAGGAAATGTTACATCTGGTGCTTCTAAGTCTCGTTTATGACATATCTATCTCTGTCAGCAAACTGTGTGCAGTGTATTCTTGTACAGAATAGTGCAGGATTGCTCACTTGATGGTTTGGTGCTTCAGGAAGTCTTCAGAGATCTGTATGGCTTACAAAGACGTTTAAGTAAGAGCTGATACTGACTTTGGAGTTAAACTGTATTTACCAGTCTGTTACTGATAGTGCTGGGTTTACTTTAGGAAATGCAGTTGGATTGCTTGTTAAAGTTGTATTCCAACTTTGTGTCTTTCCTCAGAGTATGCATTGCTACTTCCCATAAGTAATTTTCAGGACAACAGCCATATTATTGTCCATTCTTGACGTATTCCTCCATTTGTCCTATGCCCTCTATGACTGGGGATGCTGTGTGTATAAGGCCACATATTTTATCAGTTTTTATGTGCTTAATGAGACATTAACACTGAAATAAGGTGGTAGAGCAGTATCTCTTGATTGCTTTTTCACATAATTTTGGCAAAGATATTTTGAAGTGTTCGTTGTTCTGTAAATGATAATTGTGAAAATAATGCAAACATTTGAATTTAAAAGTAGTATTGATTTATTTGCCCTGTTAATTTGCAGAGGTATTTCATGAACTGATACAAACCAGTCTGTTTCTTTTGCTTCAGTTCACCATCTTGATGAAAATTCAAAAATCAAATGTATTAAAAGTTTCTTTGGAAGTAACCGTATGTTGCTCAATTGTAGCTTGTAGATGTAGCATAATTTATGAAAGGCTGTAGTTTGGTTTGGAAGGCTGTAGGATACTTTCTTTATTTACCACTAAGTTAGTTAGCTAAATGATTTTACTTTGGCTCCTAAAGATCCAGGGAGTACTTTTTAAAGCCTAATTTAATATGAACATGTTTAACCATAACTGGATGGAATAACTCCTTTTGTGTCCTAAACAGTCTCAGACATAGAATTAGGTATTGCAATGTCTGTCCCTCAAAGTATAGTTTAATGATGCAAAATAATAATGACAGCACGTAATAACTTATGCCTTATTTTAATACATGTTCTTTGGCTTTAAGCTGAAGCAGCTGCTATGATTGCACAAGACCAAGAAGAATTTGAGAAAGCACACAAACTTGTGCAGGTAAGTTATGGTCTCAGTGTAAACAGAGTAGTTCTCTAATTTATTTGTAAATTACAACTTCTGAATTCCCTTTGTCTGCAGGGAGGAAAAGTAGACATTCTAAATGCATCTGAATTAGCAGATACTTCGTGGAAATCGGCCAATAGCTGTATTCTGCTGAGAAACTCTGATCCTGATAAAGATGCCAGTTATTTACGGTTGTCTTTGGGGGAGTTCTTTGGTCAGAGATCTGAAGCTCTTGGTTGTCTTGGTGGAGGCAGTGATGTAAAACGGGTATGTATCTTAATATTAAGGCACAATGCAAAGACAAATAATGCAACAACTGCAAAAACAGCAACAAAGCACTACTTTGGTTTGGGGTTTCTTTATTAATATGTTGTAATTAATTCTTTCTGAGAAATACTTTTCTGAGTTCACTTGCAAAGGAAATTCTCTATGTGTGACAGGTCTGGGTCGGCTTTTCTTTCCCATTTGGAATTTCTGATGTGAAGGCTGGCTGGTGTTATCAGTGAATCTTGATCTTTACCAGTTGACCAGGGTTAGAGAGAAAGTATACCACATACAGGGTGCACACTAGAGGTCCAGGCAAATGATCCACGTAATAGTTGTACGAAATGCTGCTCAGACAGGGGTATTTAAACAGTGAGGGTATCTTTGAATGACTATCGATAGTTGATGTGCTAGTTAGACAAACACCCAACTTCAGTAAAAATATTGAGATAACTCTTAACTTACCGACATACTTCTATATGCTTCTTGCCTCTGTCTGATACGTATCTCTTTTCTGCTGTTGGTAGACAGTATCTCACCTGTGTTGTAGACCCACAAAAAAAAGTGCGGAAGTGTGTACAATGGGAGGAAGAAGTCAAACATGCATGTGTAATTCTGTTGTGTCCTGGTGAATTGGTAGAGTTGGTATGTTCTATTCTGGCACATTCAGAGGCAGAGTGGCAGAGCACGCCTACAGGCAGACACAATGAGAGCATATTTACTTTCTTTTGTCTAACTGGCATAAATAAGTTAATGTATATATTGGAAGTGTATGTATTTGGATTAGGCATTGCCAGTGCTAAGAGGCACATGTTATTTTTTAGTGGTATGATAGCCAAGCTCCAGCTGCTGAGGCACTGTGGCTAAAACTGCTTTGGAAGCCCAGTGAGCCTGTTTATTAATGGTTAAATTTACTCATGTTGTATTCCTGGATTTTTTTTTTCTTTTTCCATAGCCATCTTTTGGTTACTACATTACATCTCCGAAGAAAAGGCAGCCTGTTGCGTTGCTAAGGCAGTCTGATTCATCAGGAGATGACTTCGGCCAAGAGATTTCACAATTGTCTGAGGTGTTTCAAGGTAACTGATGACCAGAACAGTCAACCCTAGACTTTGGTCATAACAATAGTTAAGAATTACCTGTATATAGCTATTAAAGACTATGAAGACTAATCTGCGATAGAAAAACTCTAGTTTTCATTTGCCAAATATCTTTTTTTACTGTGAGCACCTCCCCCACCTCTTCCCCCTGAAAAACACAGAACCTAAACAAGTTTCAAGTACTACCCTGAATTATCTAGGATATTTCAGTATTTCCAGACACTGGATAACTGCCAGTATGTCTTGTAGCAATTTGAAGTCTGTTCAGAGTTGTTCTGTTGAAAACTCAACCACCACCACCAAAAAAACCCCACACAATCCCAAAACCCAAACAAACCAACCACCCAGAAAATTGGTTTGTTTGTTCATATAGATATAAAGGGTATAGGGAAAGAAGAAAAGCAGTTCGGGTTGTAACTGAGCTGACAATGTGTGCATAAGCATAGTTTACTTTTTATTCTGCCATCTTTAAAGAACAATAAAAAGTTACATTATCATGATATCTGCTTGTTTTAAAGTAATGATTTAGGAGATTGCCCCAAAATTATATATGCAGAGATCACAACATGTATTTTGGTGTATATATATGCCTATCAATGTAGGATGTTATGTTTAGAAAGGGTGGGTGCATTTTAAAGCATCTCTACTGCTTTTGATAAATCTGTGGCAATATTAGTCTTTGTGAACCTGCTTGTACAGACAATGCAGTGGCTTAAATACATTTTTGCATTAGTGAAAATTTCCACCAGGCTTTTATAGAGCCCACTTTGAAACAGCTTTACAGCTATAATCTTCCTAATGCTGAGACCTTGCAAATATTGTAAAGGGTTTCTTTATTATTTTAATAAAATGTTAGTGTACTTAAGTTCACTATACAGCAATCTAGACTTTTGTCAAAGAATACCAGGAGTTCATTGAGTTCATGACCTCTGTTTGGTTATATCATAGTTATAATTGTTGCTTTGAATAATCATAGAATAGAACAGAATCATAGAATAGTTAGGGTTGGAAAGGACCTTAAGATCATCAAGCTCCAACCCCCCTGCCGTGGGCAGGGACACCTCACACTAAACCATATCACCCAAGGCCTCATCCAACCTGGCCTTGAACACTGCCAGGGATGAAGCATTCACAGCCTCCCTGGACAACCTATTCCAGTGCCTCACCACCCTAACAGGGAAGAATTTCGTCCTTATATCCAATCTAAACTTCCCCTGTTTAAGTTTTAACCCATTACCCCTTGTCCTGTTGCTACAGTCCCTAATGAAGAGTCCCTCCTCAGCATCCCTATAGGCCCCCTTCAGATACTGGAAGGCTGCTATGAGGTCTCCATGCAGACTTCTTTCTCAGCCAATCCTCATATGGGAGGTGCTCCAGTCCCCGATCATCCTTGTGGCCCTCCTCTGGACTTGTTCCAACAGATCCATGTCCTTTTTATGTTGAGGACACCAGAACTGTACACAAGACTCCAAGTGAGGTCTCACGAGAGTAGAATAAAGGGGCAGGATCACCTTCAACCTGCTGGTCACGCTCCTTTTGATGCAGGCCAGGATAATAGAAAAATATCCTAATGTGCTCTTTAGTATTTTGTATAAATGCTAGAGAAGGTAGGTATTTGGGTCACTTTGTGGCTAAAATATTAATAGTTACTGCCATCTGATTTTTAAGTAGTACTGACAATAATATTCTTTATCAGGAATGCCAGTATAGAATTCCTTCTTAAGGAGCAGCAGGTGGAGAGGAAGCTGTGAGATCAACAACTTGATAAGGGTGTTACTTCAAATACAAAATATGTCCAAACCCCAAATATTTGCCGTAAGACCAAAAGTAAACGGGGGGTTGGGGAGGAAGAAAGAAACAAACCCAAACAACTTCTTCCCACCCTCCCAAACCAAATCCAAATTAAAAATGTTCTTTGTTTCATACTTACTTCTCAACCGTCAGAGGATCTTTAAAAGTTGGTTTTAGTGTTCTAGGGAGTCTGGATGTTTTCTCTCAAGAGGAACTCATTTGTCAAAATGGTAGCCTCCAGATCTCATGTAAGCAATACCCTCTAGTTGGAGTTTGATCTCCTGATCAGGAAGATTGTTTATGGTTTGCTATTTGTCCTAAACATAATCCTTCAAAATCACCAGTCCATTGCTATCTCAGTCAAAACACTGTCTCTAGCATAAGGATGTTGGCTTTACTCAGATTTAACTGTTGTAGTTGACTACTGGAGTTTGGTCTATGCTTATATTATGTTGTAAACATCATTTTATGAAAGTGTTTAGCTTATGCTAATATGATAAACTGCCTGAAAATAAAATTTGAAGAGTGTGAGCATGGTATTCATAATGCTGTTAATTTTGTGACTTGAACGTAAACTTTTTACTGTACAGGAAACAATTGATGCGTTTCTATTTGTGCCTTACAGCAACTCTTTCTTTTCTACAAAAAAGAAAAAAAAAAAGGGAGTGTGTATATCCCAAGAATGTAGATGTTTAGACAATTTCCTTACGGTAAATTAATTTCCTGTCTTTTTCTTTGTTCTTAGGTGACTTAGAAGCACAAACAAAAGAACATGAGAATTCTACCAGCTGTGAGGGTGCATGGGATAGAATGGATACTGCAGCTGAAATACGTACAAGCATCACTACAGAAGCTGCTACCAAAACCAGAACAAAGGTATTTCTAGTATTTTTCTGTGAAGTGCAACTATCAGCTTGAAAAAAAATCTGAATAACTTCAGTTATTATTGTTTCTTTGAATGTAGATAAATTTGGACTTCCGTATCAGCCCACTGCTTTTTATATTGATCAGGTTCTCTGGGAAGATACTGTGTATTTGGTCATAATAAATTGTCTGCTGTTTGTTCTGATGGGATTTTACTACACTTTAGGATTTGAAAAGTTTTACAGGAACTAAGGCTTCTGAGCAATCAGTCTTTGTTTGATCTTTAACAGAAACCAAATAAATTTGTGAAGTAGACTTAAAAAATCACAACAATGAGAATTATGCCTATTGCAGTGTTTCTTTTTAACAGGCAATTAAAAATGTGGCACCTAGAAATGTTACTATAGTACCATATACCAAAATGCAAAATAATTAAAATAAACAAAATACTAAAAAATCTCTTAATTTGGTGTTTAACTCATTTGGTTTGTTGTAGGATGGAATTCAGAAAGACAAGTTTGAAGACAGCCAATCTAATCATTCTGACTCCTTTCTAAGTATTAGCACGATTGCATCTGCTATTGCAAATGCTTCCTCCAGTGCTGATCCTTCCCAGTTAGCTGCTATGATGATGGCACTCTCCAATAAAAATAAAAGAGCATGTTTTGTTACTGGAATTGTTAAAGAGAAAGTACTTCCTGCTAATCAGACATTATCCAGCCATGTGGATGATAGTGCATTTGATATGGAAAAATACCTCAAAAAAACAGATGAGATTGGACATGAAAGTGAGTGCGAGAGTGTTCTAAAACATGACGCATCTGATACGTTCTTATTGGGTAAAGATAAAAATAATGATATTCTTTCAGAAGACTTCATAAATAATCATAGCAAGCAGCAAGAAATAGAGAAGCGGTTTCTGGATTATTTTAATGAAGGAAATGATACTCGGAATTTCTCTAGTCTGTCTGGTGTTCCCAACCATGAGGATGTGACTGCAAACAGGGCTAAGTGTTCAGACAAATCATCAGATTTAGCAAACAGTAAACACTTACAGTCGCTGAATACTGGTCTTGGATCAGATAGGCTCAATACCCAAACCTTACCTACTGGAAATGAAGTACAGGTATGTGGAATTCCTTCAGCAGCAGAGATGGAGGTGGCACAGAGAAGTCCATTTCCTTACCAGACCGACAATCTCAGTAGCAGGTGTTGTATCAGGGAAGACACAGAAACAGTAGATCAAGGAACAAATGCTGCTCCTGAGTCATGTAATGATTTGGAGGAGAGAAGTGCAGGAAACACTTCGTCACTCAGCAACTTAAAACATGCCAAGTCATCTAGAAAATGTGTCTCAGTAAGTCCTACAAAAGCAATGCCTACACAGAGACTGAACAGCGATGAAAAGAAGCAAGATGCAAAAATAGAGAAGAGAAACAAAGATGCCAGTATTGCTTGCAATGGGAATGCTAAACATGTAACTTTTGAGGTCTCCCCAACTTCTCAGAATACTACTGGTAAGTAAACCTTTGTAAATGTAACCAGATGTTAAGGCTTTTCTTGATAGTAGACTTGTTCCCTGTGCTTCAATAAACACCGTTATTAAATTCTGTTTATTTACCAGAACATAAACCTGTTGTAAGTGAATGTGACCTGCGGTCTCTGGAGGATGAGCAGTGTACCTTCAGACCTTCTACTTCACCACTCATTCACTCTTCTCCTAGTGAGACGTCGGGAACAGCATTTTCAGGGTAAATTCCTTGGTCCAGGTTATGAGAATTTATTAATGCTTCATAAGGATTTTTGAGGGATCAGCTTTTAGTTTGAATGTTGTCCTTGATCTCAGTTTATAGAAGATCTTTATTAGGCTAAGGTTTCATTCTTTAGACTGAGGTTTCTGTTTGCTTCTATTATGTGTATGGGGAAGCAGTCTTAAGCAATTGTTAACTTTTTATTTTCCTCACTGGCCTGATGAGGCACAGATGCTGTATGGGTACATTGATGCTTCTGCTCAAGATTATCCAGTATTGCAAGAATACAAAATACTCAGCCTCTGAGATACATTGGATACTTAAACCTTTGTGTTGATAGAGCTATAAAATTCCATACTTATTAACTGTTGTTCTAGTGTAATTTATCTTTTACAAATAAAGCTATTTAGTTGGGAGTTATGCTGTTAATACAGCTTGATGCTGTATAGATCAATTAAGATGTGCTTTTTAAGGTTACAACTATTTCACTCTATTTCTCTGCTTGTTGTGAGAGAGGATGGGTAGAAATATTTGTATGGCTTTTGACCAGTTCATGTTTTAAAATGGCCACTTATGCCTAAGATCTAAGGCTTTCTTAGTGACTGAAAGGGCAATATTACTTAAATGAGCTCCCATAAGTATTATATAAATGATAAGATTACAGCTAAGTTGATTATGTAGTTGTAAACATATAAAGATGGCCAGTAATCAGTGACTAAATACATTCCTCTAAGAAGAGGAGGCAATGATTTCTTTGCCTTAAGTTCACTGTTTGATATTTAGCTGTGGTTAGTGTTGTGCATGCTCTTAGAATTATAGGCTGTCTGGCATTTCTCAAAAGTTTATGTGTGCAGAAGTATGTGTATTTTTGCAAGCATATTATATAGGCATTAGGATTTCCAGTTAAAAATTGTCAGTGACTTTGTTTTCATGTCACTGTTTATTGTTTGACAAAGGGGTGAGAGATCCTGTGTTTTCAGATGTGTGAAATGAAGAGAATCTCAGCAGTAAATAGGAAATAATAATGTGTGGTGCCTGGGATATTGGATGATTTCATTTGACAATCTTCCATCCAGTTAGATATATTGATTCACCTTTTTAATAAGTTGTGTTGCTTCTGTGACCTCAGCATCTGAGTAGAGCTGTGGAATTCTGGTGCTTTGCCTTATGGATTTATGTCAAATGAAAATGAGGTTATGTACATCAAAGTGAGAATTTGTAAAGGTTAATTGAGAGCTGATATCTTGTTTGTACTGACTGTACTAAACAGAATGGCTAAGGAAGTTATAGAATAGTATGGCTAACGTGTAGCACTGGTTTTCTTGGGGGTAGTGTTAGAGATACATTCTAATACTGACATACTTTGTAAAGGTGTAGCACTGGTTTTCTTGGGGGTAGTGTTAGAGATACATTCTAATACTGACATACTTTGTATCTGTTTTTCAGGTCTGAAACTGACTTTATTAGCCAGCCATGTTATCAGGAATCTTCTTGCAAAGAAAGTGCACTACTACCTCAGTCGTTTTACTCGAGTCCTAGCATGAGCAGATTAACCTATGTCTCTGCATCTGACAGCACCCTTAAGAACACAGCTGTAATACATAATCCGGAGACATATTGGGTAAAAAAATCTTGAACTGTAAATACATATTAATTCCCCTACTTTAAAACAAACAAGACAACAGTTCCCTCTCACCCCTGAACCAAACCCTTAAATGGTCAAAATAGTTCAAAATTAGAAAAGCTGTAAGGGTTCATAACAGTTAAGGACATGCTGTGCATATGGAGAAGGTATTCTGATTTTCCCCCGCTTCTATCTATTTTAGAAATGTAAATTCTGAAATAGCTTGTTTTAAATGCACAAACTCTAATGAATAGAAACATAGTAAAACATTCAAAGAACTACTTGTGAAGAAAGTTAGACTTGGTGTATTTTTGCCCTTTCGTTTTTAACTCTATTTCTTGGTAAGTCATTCTGTTTCTGGACTGCAGTATGGTATTCCAGTAGTAGTTTGCAGGATCTGTATCTGCTTTCATTACTCCTGAGGCTCAATTTCTGCTCAGGTTCACCTATTAGGAGAATACTTTTCCTGCTTTTTTTGTCATGAGAAATGTTTATAAATGTGTGTTTTGGCTTTAACTTATTTTTTCAGGACTGGAGCTGTCATTTCCTACCTCCGACAGTCATTCTGACAGTTCTTACTGCTTTAGCAAAGAGTGAATTTTGAGAGCAAAACTTTTGTTCAGACTTGCAATATTATGCTGATTAAGATAATTGGCATTCTTTTTTCTAAATCCATGGGTCCTTTGGAATCTGGAATCTTTCTGTTATGCCTCACCCCCTTCCAAACTGTGTGCAAATGTGGATGGAATTTAAAAATAGAAATGCTATCTACTCTTCTTTTATTATTGTTTTTTTAATTTGCACAGGGTGAGGCTTCTCAGAACTGGTGGTTAGTGAAAGCTTAGTGAAGCTTTCTGTCTAAAGGAAGCACCAGTAGCAATGTTCCTTCATGCTGAAAGCATCAGGAGGAGGGAAGCTTGTGTCTGGCCTATAGCCCATTTTGTTCCAGGTCTGGTTGCACAGGGAATTACCTTTTTCATCCTGATGTTTCCAGTGGTAATCGCAGTCCAGTAGGAAGGAACCCAAGGACCAATTTAAGTGGGTATTTGTAGTCTTTGCTGGTGTAGCATCAGCTCTTGGGTCTGTTTCATGTTTGAAATGCATATGGTTCTAGGTTCCTGTCATCTCATACAAATGGATTACTCTAGATGCAGTCATATAACTGTCTGCATACTAGTTTGCCCCTCTGTCTTGAAAATATGTTACTGTTTGAGTAGTCTTTGTTCCCTAGGATAGTTCAACAAGGAGATCCTCAAATACTTTACCGAAGTTTTACATTTGTATTATGAGTACTTTGATAAGTCTCACTTAGAACACAACAGTATTAATTTATTCCTTTGGGTTAGTGATCTTTTATGCTGAGAGAGAGTCTGAGAGATCTTAATCTCATTTGTACTTGTTAAGAGCCACTTTCATGTCTCTTGCCTAAAGCTTCTTATAGATAAGACTGTTCATATTGGTGTTATGTTCAGATCTGAATACTTCCTGTGGCACAGTCTATTTAACCAGTAGTGCCCTCTCCTTTTAACACTAGGGTCAGGATGTCAAAGGTGCATGATTTTCAGATTTTTTTTTGTTATTTCTTGTTTGGTTGATTTGAGCTGGTGAGGCACTGTGCCCTAAATGCCTTTTTTAAAGGATTGTAACTTGTAGCTTACTTTCCTACAACAATCCAAACAGCTACTTTTGTTGCTGGGGGTGTTACATGGTATGGATTCTCTCTTTGGTCAGCTGTCCTGACTGTCCTCTCCTTACCTCTTGCCACTGCCAGCCTACTCTGTGAAGCGGCAGAGTGAGAAATGGAGAAGGCCTGGACACTGTGCAAGCACTGCTCAGTGATAGCTAAACCACTGGTGTGTTAGCAATGTTGTTTTGTTCACAAATCTAGAAATACAGCACCACAGGGCCTGCTGTGAAGAAAATAAACTCCACCCCAGCCAGACCCAGTATACCAGAGCAAACAGGTTGAAGTTCCATGTTTTCTTTTTCAAGGTGAAGAGCCACAGATGTTACAAAAGCAGAACTTCAGAAAAGACTTGACAAACTTGATTAATTATATTTGATGGCAGTACAGATATTAAGGTCTGTCATCTTTAATGTACCTATTTGCTTTTCTAATCTTCCTAATACTGCATATTTGTTTACTAGGGTGAAAATGCTGGTGAACTGAGCACAACAATAATTCGAGCAAGCCCAACTCTTTCACAGGAACAGACAAATGAAAATCTAGAAGAGCATGTGTATCAAAGAAATAGGAAAGAAGCACTGCTTAGCACTGTCCAGAAATCAGAAGAAAATGAAATTGCAGGTCTTCAGAGAAAACTTGATGATGTACTGGGTCAAGAAGTGTCCCAAGAGGGTTTTCCCAGGAATGGAAAGCAGCTTGCATCTATTCCTTCAAATGTAGCAGCAAATCATAAAGAGCTAGACCATGTTAAGTCAGCTTTACCAAGTAAACTCTGCGTCTTTCAGCCACTTGCACAAGAAGTGTGGCCCCATCAAACAGGCAGAGCACAGAGACAAGGATTACCGTCCTTGAATACGTTACCCATATATCCTGGATTAAGCACTTACATGCCACTCAGTCAAAACTCATCTGGTGAGCAACATGTTCCAATTTCAAGCTTTAAACCCCATGTCACTACTTCTGGGAGTCAGTCTTCTGTTCCCACATTGCTTACAGGACATTCTCTTGCAGCAACTCCATTTGCACAACACCACCTGGGAAATATACCATCTACTGGAAATACAGTTTTGTCTCAGTTTCATGGTTGCAGCTCTGGAGGTTTTGGCCTTCCAGCTGGGCTTCCTTGTTCTGGTATCACAGCAGGACATGTTGAGAATCCAGTTATAGTAGGAATTCCTTTAGGTCCAAATATTGGTCCTGGCTCTCTTGGCACAGCTTCACTTTGTAATCCACACCCTACTTCCTGGAACAAGGATATCTTAAATCTAAACTCGTGTCCTGGACAACCTCTTGGAACTGGTAGCAGTGAATGGGAGTTGACAAAGTCACCTGGTAAGTGTGTTTTTTAGGGTGTGTTTAAAATACAGCTGTAGGCAAGAATGGAGATAGTGATTATGGTAATATTATAGTAAATAAAAAAATGACTACCAAGTGTAACCACAGTTATCCTTTATGCAAACCTTGTTATTTAAAAAAAAGTATTACTAATTTTCCTTATTTAATGATGTTTTAATTCAGGGTCTATTCTTATAGTCCCTGTAATGGTCTTAGAAACGAATTTTCATAATTGAAAGAATTTCAGCATTCTTCAGCATTCAGTGGTTTTGTGTTCATTTAAAGGAACTCTTTTATAGGAAAAAGAGAGATCCTAGGTACAGCTCATGCTAGGCAAGACAAGTCATGCTCTAGAAATTCAGCTGTATTTTATCTGGAAAGTAGATGGCATTTCAGTCTCCAGCATAACTTGGTGTTAGTGGTCAGTTAAGCCAAAACACAGGAGGAAAGTGGGGGGCTTAAGATGTTCTTTGGTTCTGAAGGGGAAAGATTAGCTTCCAAGTGCCTTCTGTACTTTCTGGTGTTTCTCTGTATTAGCTCTTAACCTAAGCAATGCAAATTAGTGTTTTGTTTTAAAGACTTCATTGAACCTATGATATCTTTTTTTTTTTTTCTGCCTAATTCTTGCAGACAAAATGTCAAATTTATCTGAAAGAATTATTTTGACTGTTTCAGAAATATTAAAACCAGAAATTTAGTAAAATATTCAAAGCAGAATTTTTCTTTGGTGATAACTGTTGAATACCGCATTTTAGCAAATGTTTACTGTAAAAGTACTTGGTATTTTCTATAGCAAAAAATGCCTCAACACCTTTTTAGGCAACAGTTATAGTCCGGTAAAAAAAGATTTTCCTCTTTGGTCAGTGTAAATGCTCAAGAGTTGTTATAATATTCATATTCACGCTCCCCTGAGTTGGACTAGTACTGATTAAATTGTGAACACTGAGAATTTTATATAAGGGGTGTGTGTGTATGTATATATGTATATGTATATATGTATGCACACTTTGTGGGTTAGTGTCTGCATGGGATGTGATATTTCTGGAAGTGGTTTTGGTCACAATAGTAGAGCTCCAAGTAAGATGCAATTTAGAAATGGTTGAAATTCTGAGTATCAGGCTTATGGAAAACATTCTTATGAAAACTGTAGGAGTCAAACATTGCCTTGCCATAATGAAGCATTCCTTAAATGAGTTTATAAACTTGACATGGTGGTGGTCTTGAGTGCTGATTTGCTTCTGAATACTTGGAACTAATAAAAGCATATTTTCTTTGAAAGGACATGTGAAAGTACCGGAAGAATTGAAGTTCCCTAATGCCTGTTGTGTGGGAATTGCATCGCAGACGGTTCTTAGCATTTATAATCCAACTGAACGGTGGTTGCAGGTCAGCATTGGAATACTCAGTGTTTCAGTTAATGGGGAAAAGGTAAGAGATATTTTTTAATAAAGCATAGGAATAATGCTATAATCTTACCATTGTCCTGGCTTCAGCTGGGATAGACTTAATTTTCTTCCTAGTAGCTGGTACAGTGCTTTGTTTTGGCTTTAGTCTGAGAATAATGCTGATAACACGTGGATGTCACTTGCAGTCTGTCTCTCCTGCTTGAAGATTTATCTACTAGAATGTTCACAACAGAAACTTGGAGAAATCTGCAGTAGGATTTACTGATGACCTCCATCCACTGACCTTCCCATTACTCCTCCACCATTCCTCTTCCTTCCATCTTTATTGGCAGAAAGCACCAAGTAGAATTGCCTTTGTTAATTTAGTTGGTTTGTTTGTTTATTTTGGTGCTGCTCTTTCTCAAAAACATCATTGGTTTATGTATGAATTAATTTTCAACTATAATAAGTACTATAATACCAGGGTTAATCTTTCACTAGATGCTGGAAAGAAACCCCAGCTGACTTACCTTTCAGGCTCACTTACCTAAAGCTTTAACTTAAAAGAAAATACCTACAGGTGAGTGAAATGGCAGTGGGACATGAACAGGAAGGTGCAGTAACTAATATCGAGCAAAAAGGTATATGAAATGTCTGTGCTGGGCAGTGGTGCCAGCTAAATGTGGTATTTTGAAAGAAGCTATCCTCTGGCAAGAGGCATTTTGTAAATGACAGATTTTGTTTTTCAGATGGACCCTGTGAAATATCAATGTCTGGTTTTCAAGAATAAAACCATCGTAGGACCCTATTCTACCAACGATGTGAAAATACTTTTCTTACCTTGTCATTCGGGGATCTTTCAGTGTATTCTCAATGTTTCATCTTGGCCAGTTTCTGCAGATGCAGAGACAATTGTTCAGGCAGAAGCTTTGGCAAGTAGGGTAGTTCTGACAGCAGTTGCCGAAAATCCTCATTTAGAAGTGAGTATCTGCTTAGTGGGGGGGATTGTGTGGGTGGGTGTGTTTTTTTTGTGTTGGTTTTTGTTGTGCTTTTATTTATTAATTGTATGAATGCTTCAGTGACACTGGAAAAAAATAGGAGTGCAAGGTTGTTCCTTAAAGCATCCTGGAATTTCAGCGTGTTTATCAGAAGGTTATAACTATCTGGAAAGTTTTAGTTATGGAAAAGCATCTAGCTGGAAATGAAAGATTCTGTCTGGAAAGAATAAATTACCTTTCCATTATTAAAAGAATAGATGAGGTCTTAAGCATCTGATGCTTTCTAATCTGCTATGCTGGATACCATCACACATTAAAATGTAACAATCCCCATTTATTTCCAATTTTAAGGATTTCTTTATTTTTCACATCAAGTAGCCTTTGTCTTGGTTTATTATTGGCCACCTATGATCCTAGAGAATATTTTCTTAGTTTGGACTAATTGGAAATTAAAAGTAAGTGGATGTATAAAATGCTTTGCCTTGCATCTTATGAAGGACTACGAGGTGGGAGACAGTGTGACATAATGAATTAAACCAGGCTTTATGTAGTCCTAAGTTCAAGAGTATTGACAGGCAGAAATGGGTTTGATGGTGCTTTTGGAGGTGCCTGAAGAAATTACACCATAGTCTGTGGCGTCAGTGATGAAAGTACAATTTTCAGTCATTAACTTCAGCTAACTTATTTAATTTTTTTTTTCTTGGAATTTTATACTTTAATGACTTTTTACTTTAAAGTAGTCTGTTAACTTGCTTTGGGCTAAGTAGATACTGTAAAGTAATGATATTCTAGTTGAATACGCATGAATGGATGCAATTTTTAATGTTTCTTCCATAAGTTTTAATTTAATTTTAATGCCTTTTTCATATGTATTTTGGCAAAATCCATCATTCTTCGTGTTCTTCATGATGTAGTTCATTCAAGCTTGCTTCATATTTAAATTAAATTAAACCTCTAAAGCTCTATCTCTGCATGTTTTAGCATATTTCGGAGATGAGAAAAAGTACCAAATAAAAGCTGTATTTTACTGCACATCCTGACACTCAAGTGTTCCTATGCTAGCAAAAATTAACTACTGCTTAGTTAAAATGTTATTGTAGCAAGTTAAAAGTGAAGAAAATAAGTAAACCTGACATTTCATGTTTGCTATCAAGAATCATAGTTTACATTTATTTCTGTTTTAAATTAGCCAAAATAATTTGATTGTGTACTTGATTTTAGTGGATAAATATTGCACTAAGACTGGCTTAATTGATTGAGGCAAAATGTGTGGGAGATGGCAGATTGCATTCAACACCTTTTGATATCAAAGTAAACATGGTTCTGAGATTCTGTCTACCCCTGGTAGAAGGTGTGTATTGTATGTTGGTACAACATTAAGAGGATGGAATCCTTACTTTACTGGTGCTTCTGTATAGTAGTGTAATTTGGAGGTTTTCCTTCCTTATAAGTTCTACTTTGCCTTAAAACCAGGTGGAAACAGGAAAAAAAGATTATCTGGATTTTGGTGACTTGAATTCTGGCAGTTGGAAGGCTCTTCCACTAAAACTTATCAACAAAACCCATGCTTTTGTGCCAATTAGGCTCATTATTAATGCCGTAAGTACATAATCTTCCTGTACCTGAAAGTTAACTTCTTGTGATACTAAAATTTTAGTACCAGAATGCTTTGTTATATGTCATTAAATATAGTCTGGACACTATATGTAAGATTCCTAAGAAAAGTTTGATTAGTCATGAAATGAATTGTTTTGTAGTGTGGTAATCTGATTCTGCTGTATATGGGAACCATCAAAAATGGTTCTGGATAGGTGTGGTGGTTTGGGGGAGTTTGTTTTGGGGTTTATTTTGGCTTTTTTTTTTCTTTTACAGCTTACCATGGACTACTGCTTTTGTGTTGCCTGATTTGATAGGATAGGGCAGTAGGTAGCATAAGGATTGTGTTGCCTAAACCTTCCCTCTGAGAAGTTGGAGATGTAGTCTGCTGTTCAAGAAGAACACCTGGCTGTTCAAACAAGCAGCCAAACTTGATTCCTGTGAAGTTTAACGTATTCTGTCTTCTGCAGGAGCAAGAGCAGGAGTCTTAACTCTCTGCTTTATCGCCCACTAGATAGCCTGTAGTACAGGCTACAGTATGTTCCTCTCTGCATTTCTGTGGCAGTGCAGATTTCAGGTGTTTGGCTAGGCTGGCTGTTGTTTCATGCTGTGGGAAGAGCTGGTCTGGTTTCCTTATGTGGGGGGACAAAGAAAAGACTGGCCTTATGTTAAGATGTATCAGGTTGTCTTGGTGACTAGTGAGAGTTGGTCTTGAATAGATTGTTTTTTCTAAACGACTTAGATTGTTCAAAATTTACTTTGCGTTTCTTGGCTTTATCAGCATTATTGTTAGCAAGAAGAAGGAGTTTAATGTTCTAATACTTTGTTTGTTTGACAGAATGCAGTAGCTTGGCGTTGCTTCACATTTTCCAAGGAACCAATTAAACCTTTGAATGAAAAATCACTCCAAATGGATACTGTTTCTCAGATAGCAGCTCCATCAGTTGTAAATCATGTGATACATGCAAGCTACGATGGACAAGTGAGTAGTGTGTAATTGACTGGTTCTTCCTGTTACTTGCTCTCTGAAGTGATGGTCCTGGGTATCTGAGCTCACAGTAATGATTTTTGGGGCGTCCACTTATTTGAGCAGTATAGGTTTGTTGCTATGTAGGTTTGGGTTTGCTTTTTTGGTTTTTTTTGGGGTGGTTTTTTTTTTTTAGGTTGGGGTTTTTTTTTCCTCATTCAGTAGTTTTCTCCCTGCCATAAGACGAGTCAACCAAATTCTTTTTCAGGATCCTGAAGCTTTAACAGTTTGGGTTCTGTTCCATGCACCTAAGAAACTAATTTCTTGTTCAGGTATAGTAATTTGTTTTTCTTTTCAACTGAAACAAATACGAATTTTAATGCATGTATGTGTTAGAATTGCAGCAACAAGCTGCAGACTTGAGATTAAATGGTCCATCTTTGGTTTGTGTGTCCTGATATTTTGGGTATTGCATTCAGTTTTAGTAACTGACAGAGGCAGAATAATTATGTCTTAATCTGTTAGATGTTAACAGGGGTATTTGTGCTTCAGTGTCAAACTGTACCAAATGGTTATCTGTTGCAGGATGTGTGGAATTTGCTTTACTACTTTTGCGGAGGGAGTTAAATCATCACTTAAGAAAATGTATTGGTTGCCAAATAAATAATTTGAAGAAACCTCTTGACTTTTTCTGGCTTCCTAAATAGTAAATAGTACATATATCAATTAGTTTGTCTAGATTTCATTTTGTTTTGTTTTCTTTATGGATGGCTTCAGCCACATTTGACAGAAAGATTAAACTCTTAAATAAGATCTTGTGAGACTTTATTTTAAAGTAAAAAAAGCTAATTGCCAGGGTAATGGGAGAGCTGCTGTCAGTATGTTAAGATTGGACAGTAGCTGAAGTGAGACACGCAGCCATAGAAATGGCCTTTGCTGCTAGCAGACTTGCTTGCTTTTGTTACTCATGGAATTCTTCCTAGATTCCTTGGGTCCAGCGGATGAGTTCTTGGCAAGAGTTGATGTGGAAGTGGATAGTCCAGGACCTAGCAGTGTGATTAAAAGTATTCCTCTTCGAGCAAGAGCTGGAATAGCAAGGATACATGCTCCAAAGGACTTACAGGTTTGCATGTGTTAACAATGCATGTTTCAATAATGGTTTGCCTTTCCTAGTCCACTTCTATTGTAAGGTTTGGTTTTATTATATATGTACATTTACATGCACACTTCTTTACTTTTTCCAGATAATACGCCTGTCTACTAGTGTGGGTTCAACAGCCAAACAGCAGCTGCCATTGAAGAATGCTGGAAACATTGATGTATATTTGAAAATTAAGGTAGGTTGTCTTCTTTCTTTTGAAATCATGAGTTTTGTGCCATTACTGTTGTATTGAAACTAGCGCTGAGCCTTGGGATCCTAGCTCAACTGTGTGGTTTGACAAAGGGTTACAAGTTTACATAAAGAGAATGAAAACTAGCAGAGATTATCTTACATTATTGGAAAAAGCATATGGGAGTTTTGTTGCTCAGCTTCAGATACATTTGTTTTAACAACCTACTTTTATGATTTTTAAAAAATAGATTTTAACAAGTGCATGTCAAATATGTAAATGTAGTGAATCCTGTGCTGCACAGGAGATACTCATTACCTAGTTGAGTAAAACCCATTTAGATAAAAATTGGATACCAACTGATACCAGTAACAGTTGGTACCACTGTTGAGAGAAGTGGTGTTACTTCACTAGTGGTGTACCATTGCTGTGTTGTACGTGACTATTGGATTCTTTAAATCTCCTCGTGGCTCCTTCAGTGTTTTATACACAGATGCTGTTGGAGGTATTTGTATCTGAGTGTCCAGCTTCAGAAGGGTTTTACTACTGCAGGGCTATGGGAAAGTTCTGAAGGTGCCAGGTGTATTTCATAGAATCATAGAATTTCTTCCTTATATCCAGTCTAAACTTCCCCTGTTTAAGTTTTAAGCCGTTACCCCTTGTCCTGTCACTGCAGTCCCTAATGAAGAGTCCCTCCCCAGCATCCCTGTAGGCCCCCTTCAGATACTGGAAGGCTGCTATGAGGTCTCCACGCAGCCTTCTCTTCTCCAGGCTGAACAGCCCCAACTTTCTCAGCCTATCTTCATATGGGAGGTGCTCCAGTCCCCTGATGATTCTCGTGGCCCTCCTCTGGACTTGTTCCAACAGTTCCATGTCCTTTTCATGTTGAGGACACCAGAACTGCACACAATACTCCAAGTGAGGTCTCACAAGAGGAGAGTAGAGGGGCAGGATCACCTCTTTCGACCTGCTGGTCATGCTCTTTTTGATGCAGCTCAGGATACGGTTGGCTTTCTGGGCTGCAAGCACACACTGAAGCTGGTTCATGTTAATTTTCTCATCAACCAGCACCCCCAAGTCCTTCTCCACAGGGCTGCTCTGAATCTCTTCTCTGCCCAAGCTGTAGCTGTGCCTGGGATTGCTCCGACCCAGGCGCAGGACCTTGCACTTCTCATGGTTAAACTTTATAAGGCTGGCATCAGCCCACCTCACAAGTGCGTCGAGGTCCCTCTGGATGGCATTCCTTCCCTCCAGCGTATCAACCGAACCACACAGCTTAGTGTCATCAGCAAATTTGCTTGTGTTTGAATTGTCTGACTGCATGTAAACCAGATACACAACCAGATTGCACTGCATCTTGTAGAAATGTTTACTCCCTTAAAATAAGGAACCAACCCTCCCTTTTCCCCTTGTCCACTTCCAGACATCAGATCAGGACAGCTGCTTTGCTGTTGAGCCTCGAGATCTTTTCCTTCTTCCTGGAGAAGAACGAGAAGTGACTGTCTGCTTTGTTCCAAAAAATGTAACGACTACAGAAAGGTAACATAAGTGATTTTTATGCTGCCTGTGGTAAACAGAATTACTTTTGACCTTAATGTCATGAACAAATTGAAAGTTTTCAGTTCTGTTCCTGAGAGTCGTCATTCATTACAAAGTGGATTTCTGCAAGGGTTCACCTGTTCCATGGGTTACCTGCCTCTTTTGCTGTACACAGTTTAATGAGTAGCTAATATTTCCCACCACAGATCAACAGATGTCATGAGACTGTAAATAAATGGAGTAAGACCCTGAAGCTCTTCATATGGTGCTTGTGTCTAAAGTACATCAAAACTTTAAAATACTCCAGCACCTCCTTCAGTTGCTTCCCTCTTACGTATTCCACTGAGACAAGGGAAATGTTACTTCCATTTTGCATGTGAAAAAGCTCAAGCACAGATCAGGGGCAAGAGTATTCATTAATTTTGGCTGCTGTAATCAAATGAAAGTTCAACTTTAAATCCTGTGCAACAAAAATGTACATACGCCTTTTGCAGATTAAGTGTTCATGTTTTTGCACATTAGCACCTGTCAAACTTCATTCTGTGAAATAGGCTTAATTCATTCAAGTGACCATTCTGATGTGGCAATGGCAGGGGTCTGACTTACTTCCTCAGAGCACCTTCTCCTCTTTTGTTACATGTTCCCGTTTCTGCTATAATAGAGCAAGAATGGACAAAGAAATCTGTCCAAATTATATTCAGCTTCATTATCTAGCTTAGCTAGGCCTACCCGGTGCATGAAATTAAACATCTGTGCTAATGACAGTATGAACCTAATGGATAGGCATGCAAAGCAATTAATCTTTGTTTTTTCTATGACCTTTTGAGTAACTGCTTTGCTTTACAGGCTCAGGGTACTCAGTAGGGTTGAAATCTTTGCAGTCCACTTCCAAGTGCTGCCAAAAGACTAATAAACTTAGTAGCACCAGCTACTAAGAAGGAGAAAAATGACTCCTACTGAACCCAGGACACTAAAGCAGGAACAAGAGTTCATGTCCCTACAGATGGGATGCAGGACTCTGTCAGTAGGCACCATAGGAATTTAGTGACAGATAGAGTGGAGATTCCTGAGTTTCATTCCTGGCTCTAAGTTGGACTGTAGCATAGCATTAGCTTATTCTTTAAAACCTTGATTTCTTTCCTGCCCTACACTTTTTTTTTTTCTTGTTTCTATTTCTGTTGCTTGGTTTTGTTGGGTTTTTGGTTTGTTTCTTTTACCTCTTATTTCTATTTTCAAACTTCAGTGCAGTTTTGCAGGTGTTTCAAAATTCATCTCTTTAATCTACACAGAGACTTTCCAAAATCAGTCTGTCAAAACAATCAGCAGTTAGCATGGGCAAAAAAAAATTTGCCTAGCTGTAGTCTCTGAAAAACTTTTTGAACCATTTCCAGGTGAAATACTTGAGAAGTTTGTTTGTTGCATGCATATTTGCAGCCCAAAGGATTTAGATTTTGCTGTGCCCAGTGGTGTTCAAGGCCAGGCTGGGTAGAGCTTTGAGGAAGCTGGTCTAGTGGAAGGTGTCCCTGCCCATGGCAGCGGGGTTGGAATTAGGTGATATTTAAGATTCCTTCCAACCCAAACCATTCTATGATTCTGTGCCTAAAGATGGCCTTTCTCATAAAGCTAAAAAAAAGTATTTTTATTTTCTTGTTAAGAAGGTAGGTTAACAAGGCCTATGTATATTTTTTTCCTCTCCAGTTATGTTTTCGGCAGGTAATATCATTCTGTGATTTAAATTTGTTTATTTTTAAAGTTCTTTGAAAATCCTTGTGCTGCCATCTGGACCTCAGTATGAAGTGGAGCTAAAAGGTGAGGTGGTGTCTGTGGAAAATAGACCTGTGTCAACAGCTGCTGGCTACCCAGACATCCCACCCATTCTATCCAACAAGCAGTTCATTGCCTGGGGAGGAGTAACAGTGGGAGCATCAGTGTAAGTATAAGTTGGGAGGTGTTTATATAGAATATCATGTTAAGTATTTTATATTGCAATTTATGAAACTTCCTGTTCATGTTGATCATGCATAGCTAATAAACTAAGCTGTTTAATGACTCAGAGAAGCAGTACCTCACAATTTTATTTATTTTTTGCAAGAAATCTTTGGAAACAAACTTGTTTGAGCTTTTTGTATTCTTCAGGACTCTATTTATCATTGATGCTGTAAGATTAGTGTGTTATGTAAGTAGAAATATAGTGGGAAGTATTTCCAAGTAAGTTGATGGAAAACTTCTGTTGGCTCTTTTGACACCTATCTCTGGCTAACATATTCTGTTGTTCCAAGAGGTGATTTTATTTTTTTCGTGAAATGACTTTAAAATGTCTGTCCCATTTCAGGACATTTCCATGAATAAATGGATGAAGTTAATTCACATTTGCTGCAAAATATAGCTGAACTTCATATTTTTCAGGCAGCAGAAGTTAACTCTAAGAAATGACTCTCCATCTGTGACTCAGCATTTAAGACTGTTGATAAGAGGCCAGGATCAAGACTGCTTTCAGGTAACTCTCATGAAAATTTGTCTTTAGTATTTATGACAATTTTCAGGATATGTTTATAATAAACATTCTTTGTCCTGAAGTGCTGTTCCTTTATAAATGTCAGTGACTAGCAGGCTGTGTATGTGCCCTGAGACTGCCGGGATGAACATGGTAGCAGAGCTTAAGCTACACTGGCAACCCTGGGAGCAGCTGAAATGCTGTAGCACCACAGAGTCAATACTTGGAGTGATCTGTCAGTGGCCTTTCTTGCAGGAGGGGTTTTAGATCTTGCTGCAGAGGACTCTGTGTACATGAGGGAGGAAGGAAATTAAAACTGGAATTAGCCTTCGGGAATTATCATAACTCGAGTTGGCGGTTTGATTGTTTTGTTTTGTTTCTTTTTCTTTTTTACGTAGTCCACAAACATTTACATCCCATTTTCCCCTCAGGTGTTCAGATTTGGTATCTAAAAATCTTAACATTGAGAGAGAATTAATGTAGTGCTGGTTAAGTTCAGTTGTACCTTATTGTCATTGAAGGCTTATTGTAGGAATATAAAAAGTTTTGAACTTGGTCTTTATTGCATATTAAGCACTGCAACTTTAAATATACACCACTGTGAACTGAGTTAATCCAGATTTCGAATAAGTTTATTTTGGGTTGCAAGTGATGTACATCTTACGTGCTGTGTGGTTTTGCTGGTGTCACTCACTTCTGACATCTTTATTTTTATAGCTGCAAAGTATATTTGGATCAGAAAAACGCTTAACTAGTAATTGGGAACTCAAAATCCGTCCCAAAGAAGATACTAACATATACTTGATATTTGCACCTACTCAAATAACTTGCTTCTTTGCAAAGCTGGAAATCAAACAGCTGGGAATTCGATCACAGCCAGGAATTAAGTTTACTGTAAGAGTCCCAACCTAACTTCTAGTAGTTTTAAACATACATTTTCCATAGTTATTTAAAATCTAGGACAGATTCTATCAAAAAGCTAAAACTTTCCAAGATGCACAATATGTGTATCTCTATACTTGTTACAGATTGTACAGCCACTGAATTGTACAGTTTGAACGTTAGTCTCAATTTTACATGTAATTTTTCTCCTTGTGAAGGAAGAAAAGTTTTATATGCTATATTAGTAGTAGCCTCAGAATTTCAACTTTACAACTGTCAATAAATCTGAACTTGTCCTGTTAAATTATAGTTGGTCTTTAATTTTCAGTAGAACTTAAAGTTTCAATAAATTTAGACTTTTTTATTTCTTGCAAATTCTTTTTGGTTCAGATTTTAAGCATCTTCATTCCTCTTTCTATAGCTCTTATACAGTTTACCGTAGTTGGTACCTAAGTTTTAGTAACAAGTTTAGTTTCCTTTGAAGTACTCTGTGTTGTTTTTTTTTGTGGTTTTCATTTTTTTTTTCTTTTTCTCCCCTGCCCCAGATACCATTATCTGGATATGGAGGAACAAGCAATATAACTTTGGAAAATGTTAAAAAACTATCAGGTAGTTACATGGTAACACTGGATGGATTATTGCCTGCAGGATTAAGGAAAGCTTCCTTCTGCATAAGAAATACAGGTTCTCGGGCTGCCTATGTTAAAGCATTGTGCTTTGCAAGCCTACAGACAAAAACAGTTATGGATCCTCAGGTAGTGACTGTATCTCCAGAGAAGTTTGTGCTAAGAGAAGGAACACACGAAGTAAGTATAATACCCAATTCTGAGCAAGTTTTATTAGTTCAAATTGAAATACATATTATCATTGAGAATGTGTCTGACTAACTGTTTATTGAAGTCTCACTTGTGTAAAATCCTCTTTCACTTGTATTGCCTTAATTTCTTGACTCATATTCCAAATATTAGTACTAACAATATGGTTATTTTTTTCTTATGTTGTCTATTTATTTTATCAGGTGATTACTATAACATGGAATCCAATGGAAGAGGAAAATAACTTCCATAAAACAAATTCATTGGTATCAACAGTATGTTTTTTTTGTGGAGATGAGGTTTCTAGGCAGCAGTATCGTAGGTAAGTTTTACTTAGCTATTGTAACAGGTAGATGTTTAAGAAAGAGATAAAACTAGAGGTGTGTGTTACCACGAGTATGGTTTTAACAAGCTTCCAAAAATAACAAGAGCAAACCCAAAGACAGTGATGATATGGAGAGATCTAATCAGTCTTGCATCTGGTAGGTTATTTGGTGTTGGTTTAGTTGTTTATTTGTGGGTTTGTTTACATCCTGTAGCTAGTTAAGGGTTTTATTTTTTTTTTTTTAATGTTCTTGAATTTGAGTGTGTTTGGGTTTGGGGAAAGAGTTTTGCTTTTTTGAATTGAAAGAGAGTTGTGTTCTATTTTGGTATTAGCGTCCAAGGTGTACCTAGCTTTTACTTTTAAAGAAAAGGCTTGTGGAAAGAGTAGTACTGAAATTCAGTAGCATTAAGTTTTGAACAGGATTTGCATCGTGGTTTGATGAAGACAATGTTTGAGTAGATGTGTATGTGAGAAATAAAGTTGGGGCTGTTCAGCCTGGAGAAGAGAAGGCTGCGTGGAGACCTCATAGAAGCCTTCCAGTATCTGAAGGGGGCCTATAGGGATGCTGGGGATGAACTCTTCATTAGGGACTGTAGTGGTAAGACAAGGGGTAATGGGTTAAAACTTAACCAGGGGAAGTTTAGATTGGATGTAAGGAGGAAATTGTTTCCTGTGAGGGTGGTGAGGCACTGGAATAGGTTGCCCAGGGGGGTTGTGAATGCTTCATCCCTGGCAGTGTTCAAGGCCAGGTTGGACGAGGCCTTGGGTAATATGGTTTAGAGTGAGGTGTCCCTGCCCATGGCAGGGGGGTTGGAACTCGATGATCTTAAGGTCCTTTCCAACCCTAACTATTCTGTGATTCTGTATGCTCATAGCACACCGAAGAAATTTGTAGATGTCTTACCAAGCTTAAAAAGAGGCTATGTTTCTCTGTATTTCAGTTTGCATAGCTCAGGTGCACAAAAGCCAGCATACTCTGCTTTTAATGACAGAAGTGGCACTTTCTGACTTGTGCTGTGTATGGTGTATAGCAATAATGAAAAAAGCTAGCAACAGGCAGAGCATTAAAGTGCTAGTGATCATCATTCAGTGCAAAATTTTAGAATGGCAATATTTCACTACTGCTTTAAAATGTGATTGCCTGAAACTTCATGAAAAGTCATTGCATTTATTGTTTTCCAAATAAAGTATTAAGTATAGTTGAATTTTACTGTAAGACTTTGAATAAAAAGCTTATGGAACAACTGCATTTGTGACTTTTTTCATGGAAATTGGCATATTTTAGATATTTTAGAAGATGATCATTACTGGTTTTTTTGTATGAACTCTTGGCTAAGGCAGTGCTAGCTATCATTGAATCTTTCTCAAAGGGCAGAAGAGCTTAGGAAAAGCTTTGATCTACTGATGAGTAGAAAACCTATTAAGAAGCTTAATGCACCTATATAGGTAGTGTTGGAAAGTTTTATTCAGACTCTGGACCCTGCGTGAGTGAAATTACTTGTTGCTGATTTTATTAGTCAGCAGGCATGGCATTTAGTTCTTGAACATGGTGGTCTGATTGGTTGCTTCTTGGTGGGAACTCCTCTAAAGTCTCCCATGATAATTTGAAACAGATGCTTATTTCTTGAAATGGCTGAGTACTGTAAGCCAGTCAAACCCATTCTGTAATTGTGTGCTAGAACGAGAACATGATTTGGGATTTAAGGGCAGGAATGTAAAATGAGTAACCTACCTAGTTTGCCAACTTGTGCCTCAAGTTCTTTACTCCAAAATATACAGTGTCAGTAGCCTGGTAAGTAGCTTAGACCCTAGAGTTAGTAATGCTGCAGTATCCTTTCCACCTCCACATCTCTTACCCTGTCTGAGTGCCAGGTTTCCTTTTACTGACCTGTAGCTTCCCATTTTTCCCAGACTATTTATATCCCTATTCCTCCCAGTGTTTTCTGTCCTGCTGGCAGTCATGCTCCTTGGTTCTATGTTCCTGCTGTTGACTGACACATGCTGCCACACTTTTGTTGACTAGTCAAATTTTCCTCTCGGAAGACTTTCAGTCATGACCAAAATAGCATTCTCCTGCTTCCTGTGGTGACTGAAAAATCACTCAGGTGCCTGAGGTGCTTGTCAGAAATCTAGGTAGGTGTGACTGACAGCAGAGAACAAGTGTCTTGTAAAGACAAGTGTATAGTAGCTATTATTCCAGTGGTTGCTTTCACTGTGCGGCAATAGAGCAGGTATGTATTTAATCATTTTAAGGTTATGGGAAGATTTCAGTTTTAAACAAATGCTCAGAGGTTTGAGCTTACTGTATTCAAGAAATAATAAAGTTAAAATTATGCTGGATTCTTACCAGTCTTACCAATCTTTTCGAATTGTGTTTTTCATTACTTTGTGTGATTTAATGACTCTTCTGTCTTTATTTCCTTAACAGAGCTATAATGTATAAACCTGAGGTGGAAAAACACATAATCCCAGAAAAGAGCTTATTGAGAAACATTGTATTTGATGAAGAGTTTCAAGGGGAGCAGCTTGTGACAGAAGGTAAGCCCATGACTTGTTAAAAGAGAAATGTGATACTTGAAAAATGTGCTTTTAGGCTTGAATCATAGTTATTTTTCCACTGTTTTTTTGGTTTTGTTTTGTTTTTAGTAAATATAGAAGCAAAAATTTTCATTTGGATAGATGTATTGGGTTTATATGGCAAGGTTTTTGGTAGAGTGGGCTACAGTAGCAGCTTCTGTGAAGCTGCTAGGAGCTTCCACCATATCCAATAGAGCCAATACCAGCTGGCTCCAAGATGGGCCCACTGCTGGCCAAGGCTGAGCCCATCAGTGATGGTGGTAGCGCTGCTGGAATAACAGACTGGGGGGCAAAAGGGAGTGTATGGAGCTGTGCAACAGCAATAGCAGCCAGAGAAAGGAGTGAGAATATGTGAGAGGAACAACTCTACAGGCAACTAAGGTCAGTCAGAACTTGGCTGACATCAAAATACACATTTCCCGTCCCAAATTAATGTCATAAATTTTTTGTACTTTTGCTTGTGTTAGTATGAAATTTATTAAAATAGAATGCAGAATATTGTAAAGGCGTCCTTAAAAAAAACAACCAAAGCCAACCAAAGTTCCAAAACATCAAAAAACTGAGCCTGGTTCTTTCCCTAAAAATTGTATGTTTTAAGGTGATAACCTAGTGAAGATATTTGGGTTCTGGAGTATGCTCTGAAGTTGTTAAGTCAGTGTTAGAGCTTAGACATCCCTGATTATCTCCTACTGCCCTATTACCAGAGTTTTGCTAACGATAGCTTTTTTTTTTTCCTTTCTGTAGAAAACAGGGCTTGCCTCATGCATCTTAATGTTTTTCTATCTGTATGTGAGAGGGTACATTCCTGAATTTGTGAAATATAGGTGATTGTTCCCTGTTTGGTCATAATTTTTTATTTACTCAAACTTATTTATGTTGGACATAAAATATCCTTGTCCTCTTATGTACTACTTTCTGTATTTGATCAATAAATTTGACTGACTGTGGTTAACAGACAGATTTGCACAACATTGCAAATATGCTTTCAAGGAGGAGTGCTGGAAGAGTAGCTCTTAGAAAAGTAAACGAGGTTATTCTTACTCATTTTAACAATGACACAAACTTCCGGCCCTTCCTTGCCTTCTTATCACCCAGTGATATCCAACGTGAATAGTACAAACTTATTTTACACAGATTAGTGTTCACCAGCTTCTCAGTGGGAATATTCACATACTTTTGTTACATGTCCTTGTAAGTCAGATACTTTGCAGGAGCTAGTAGTAGTGCCTAGTATTAAGAAATCTGATTATTTTTTTCTTTTATGCAAGATGCTGGTTTTTTAGGTGAAAAATAAATTGTTTTTTTCAACATCTAAAAGCTTTTTTAAGTTTGGTTTTTTTTTTGCCTTTTAAGTGGAAGACTGTTACAGAGGTGATGTTGAAAGTTCAAAGAATAGAATGTCTTGGTTATAATTGGCTCCATAGGCTGTTTTGGTCTCCATTCCTCATTGCCTTAATCTACAGAGGTATTTGAAAATCTCTGGCAGTGGTCAAGGCCAGGTTGGACAGAGCCCTGTGTGACATGGTTTAGTGTGAGGTGTCCCTGGCCATGGCAGGGGGGTTGGAACTTGATGATCTTAAGGTCCTTTCCAACCCTAAGTATTCTATGATTCTATGAACCTATGAAGAAATTACATACTGAAGTTAGTATGGTGTCAGTTTTTCACCAATCTATATACAAATACCAAGAATTGTCCCTGGTATCTGCTATGCAGTAGAGGAAGTAATGGTTGGATAAAATGTATCCTGTGTGGGAAGTGTTCATGTCTTCATTCTGTCTATTCAACATAAAATAGCTCAAAGCAGAGGAGAAAACATTGATTTTATTATTAAATATTTTGATGAATTATTTCAGTATTTTTAAGTCATTGCCTTACATTCCTGACCTTTTGGATGTTTACAGGTACAATGAATTAAATAAGGAAGCATTAGATTGAGCAAACTGAGTAATTGAAAAATGACTTATCTCAAGTTGAATTTCCTTCTGTGAAACCTTAGGAATTTATTAGTCTTATCTATCAGGGTGAAAAAAAAGTAAAACTTAACTTGAATTTGACATGAAATCAAATTAGTATATACTTATTTGTATAAAGGTGGAAAATACCTATCTTGTAATTAAAAAGTTTAAAATTGGCATGTATTTAGATGTAAAATATAAATCTCATGTTAATGTTGATTTATGCCTGATAACTGAACTTGCAGTAAGTAATTTTTGAACGATCTAGAGTGTCTTAGTCAAGAGATTATTAACTAGGTCTATATCCTTAATCTCTGTTGTGTAATTTCTGAGTATTATTGAATTTCTCTATTACTTTCATTTTTAGTATGCGATATCCCACGGGGGACAAATGATATCCATCTTTTCTATGCAAATATGCAAAAGGTTATCCTCTCTGTGGTTGCATGTGCCACTTTTGATCAGGATGAATTTCATCAGTCTTCTGGGCGTCATTTGGAGTCAGACAGGTAATGTAGCTATAAGGCTAACTGCCTAACAACGCCTAACTGAAGTGCATCTCCTTTCATTGAAGACTTTGATATCTGTGAAAATACCCTTTCTTTACAAAATAATGGATCTGATGAATACCTAATTGGCTCTTCTCATTCTTACTCTGTATATAGCCTGTTTAAGCTGTTATGATAATTTTTAAACTTTTCCCTCAACTGACACCATTAACTTTATCTGCAACTTCCATTCTTCATCTGAATAAACCTGTTTGGCTTTTTGTTTGTTTGTTTGTTTTTCCATACGCTTTTCCAAAGTGTATTTGTTGTTGTAGTCCTGATAGGACTATGACCATTTCATTCCTTGTAATGAGTTCTTGATGTCTGGGATGGAAATAGAGATATACTAATAAAGGCTTAGTGACCTTTCCTTTGTTCAGCCTTTCAGTGTAGTACCTACTATATTCATCAAAAAAATTGTCAGTGCTGAGCTACCCCAACCCTGTTGTTCTCTTGAATAAAGCAGTCTATAACTGGGAGGATTTCTTTGGAGGACTGACAGAGACCTGGTCTTTAAAATGGACCTGTCACTTTGGCAGATTGCTGTAGCATTTGGAGCCTGAAAAGCAAAAGAGATGTCCAAATCATATGCAAATACTACTTACTAAGGTAGCATTTCACAAAACCAAAATAAATATGGGTTAACTTTAACACTACAAGGAATACATTTGCATAGGTTGTTTTTTAAGTTTTAAAGTTTAAAACATTAAAACTTCTCAAGATCCTGTTACCAGGCGAAGAAAGGGTTCTATCTAGTCTGGTCTAGTCTATCTAGCTGATTTCTAAATAACAGCTTCCTAGCTTTCATATTGAGCTTATCTGCCACATATTTTGCAAACAAAGGTGTGAAATGCTAGGTCATGAAGGGATTGTGTTGTCGATCTTTCAAGGAGAGACTTAAAAACTGGGTTTGTTTAGTGTTAAGCAAAGAAGGCTTGAGCAGGGAGAGAATCTTATCTATGTGTATAAATACTTGATGGGGAAGTAAAGAAGAGGAAGATGGAGTCTTCCCAGTAGAGTTCAGTGGCAGGACAAGAGGCAATGGACACAAATGGAAATGCAAGAAACTCAAACATTAGAAAAAAATCCATGTGATTTTTGTAAATGTGTTGGGGTTTTTTGTGGGTGGGTTTTTTATCTTTTCTGGTGAGGATTGTTAGGCCCTGGAACAGGTTGCCTGGAGAGGTTGCAAAGTCTTCATCTGTGGAAAAGTTAGGAACTGGACTAGATAATATACTGAGTAACCTGCTGTAGATGACCCTGCTTTGAATGGGGTTGGATTAGGTGATCTCCAGAGGTCCCTCCTAACCTTCAGCTTTCTGTGACTTATGACTTTCATTGCCTTATTTCTCTCTCCAGTACTTTCTTAATCTGAATAAAATATATACAAAGATGACTGCTTATTTTAGTACTTTCCAATCAAAACAGTACCTTCCAGTTCTAAACATGGAAAAAATGTTGTGAAAAAATTGTTCTGATATAGCTGCTGAATTAATTTCTTAATAATGAAGAATTGAATTAAATTGAAAGCCCATGTAAAGAAGATTGTATTTCATTATTAAATCTTGAGAAATACTAAGAGTAGGCTGTTATAATTACTCGTGAGTTACTTTTATTAGTACTTTTGCTTAATGAAATCTTATTTTCAGATTTGAGAACTCTGACAGACATATCAATACAACTTTGGATGTTCTTCCTGTTAAAGGACCTCAGGGTCCTCCATTGCCTATAACAACTGATGATCTGGTTCAGAGTAAATCAAACACTCAACAGACTTGGATTGTCAAACCAGAATACTTAACTTTGACGTCTCCTTCTATTGGTAAGTTGGGGTGTTTTTTTCTGAAGTTAATAAAATAACCACTTAAGTATTAAAATAACTGAACTGCATACCATATGTTTAATTATTCTCATTTGTAAATGTGGCTTGACCAATAATTTTGCTGCAGTAGTTTTACAGCTAAATAGTAAACTTGGCTTGAATAGAGTTTTTTGTTAAGTTGTTAGAGGTAATGTGCTCTGTGTGTGTGTATACATGTAATATGCACTGCATACCTGTGAAGATTTTAAAGCATCGTGAAAGTAAAAATTAGGCAGGAAATGCTTTATCTTAATTGCATCTTTGAATCTCAGACACTTCTGTGACTTTTTATATGTGTTAGATTTTTATGCCTTCTTCTGTACTACAGGTGGAACAGCAGATACTGGACATGTTCAAATTGTCAACAATTCTAATAGGATGTTGGCATTTGAGCTTTCGTGGCCAGCTCACTGCCTTACTATAACCCCACAACATGGAGTGGTCGAGCCAGAGTAAGTTTCTTTTCATAGATTCCTTTACGTGTGGAAGTGTGTTGAGGTTTTGGAGGAATTTCTTTTTAATTTAGGAATTCTGTTAATTTAGGAATTTTGGTTAGGTTTAGGAATTTATTTTAGTTTGTTTAGACTATATACCCTGGAACTATTTTCATCAGATGATGTGCAAATCTAGCTTTTATGTATTAGGACTCTGTCCATTTATAGCCTCCATAGAGGGAATGTTCTTCTGTCACCTGAAGGTGACGTTCTGTCACATAGGAGGACAGAAATTTTTTGAGCCTGGAATTACTGTTATTATTTCATAATTTTCCAGGAGCTGGATGGTTAACAAAGCAGAAGCTTTAAAAACCTCCTTTCACAATGGTTATTCATTTAAAAATCACCTCTGTGTTTCAAAACAGAAAGGACTTCTCCCCCTTCCCTGGCAACAGACAAACCAACCCCAAAATAACAGTTCTTACAGACTGCTGCTTTTCTGGGGACTGAGTATTTTCTTTTTCAAATGTGCTGATATTTATCAGAACTTGTTTGTGAGGGTGATCTTACATTCTAACAAAACTGTGTTTTGCCACTCAGTCTTTGGCTTCTCAATATCTGTAGATATGAAAAGGATGACAGGCCAGTGTCAGGTCACCTGTGTCTTAATTAGCAGGATTTCAGAACAGTAGTCATAATATCACTGCAGAGACTTCCCATGGGCATTTGTGAATTCTTTCACAATAAAACGATTGGAAGTTCTGACCACCTCTCACTTCTGAATTTATGGGCTTTTTTTTAAGGTCAGTTCAGAAAGGCTTTTAAGACCCTGTTACTATTCTTGTCTTCCCCAAAAAAGTCGTATGTTCCACAAAAAAATTGGTCTTGCTTTCTGAGTTTTGTTTAAGTAGTTTCTTTAACTTTGTAGATGTTTGCCCAAACAGATACTTTCTTTTCAGTCTTGTATCACCATGCAAGATGTAGGACATTTAAACACTTAAATATAGATGTAAATTCTGGCATTTACTGCTGGGGACCTTTCATCACTAGTGAGAACAGAACAAGAGGGTTTTCTGGAAGGGCTATGATATTTGCTACTCTTTGCAGATACAGTCAGTACAAAGGACAATGATTTCAAAAAGAGAGAACAATGAACAACTTTGCAGTAGCTGTGAAAGTAAGATCATCTTGAGTGTCTCAAACACTAGTCTCAGGACTGTTTGTGGAAACATGTCTTAAAATCAGGGAATCGAAGGCCTTCTGCAAGCAATTTTTTTGCACTGCCTAGTTTTAAAATGTGATCCCTTCACTGGAAAAGATTGAACTGAAACCTTACACACTGGGTCCAAATAAGTAGTCTTGATCAAGAACAGAAGCCTGCAGGTGGGAAACAGACCCATGGGAACAGTTGCCTTAAGCACAGCAAGCTATGCTTGCCCAGTTTTCTGCTTGTCATGACCACCTCCCAGAAGTGCCCAGAGCAGTCATCCTGTGAGGACAGTAGCCAGCCAGACTGCAGTGGCTGGAGCCTGCAGAATTCTTGAACTGATTTAGGTCAGGAAAGGAGAAAGTCTGATTTCTTGGGAATGCTGAAAGAAGGTCCTAATATCAGGGACTGCCACTCTGTAGCAAGCAAACCACCCCCTGTTTCACCTGGACTAAACCGCTTAAGTTCTGTGGTATGAGCAGAAGGCAGTCTCTGACCTGCCTGAATGTGGAATTATAAAGTCCCAAGTCCTAATGAATTTAGCACCATTCCAAGAGATTTTCTTGTGGAGGTGAACTGAGACTATCCCCTGGCCTGTTTGCTGTGCCTCAGTGTTGGGAGCATTGGTAAGTGCTGTGAAAGGAATTGCTCTTTTGGAGTAGGGACTGTTGGAATCTCCAGAAGTTGCAAGAGTCACCTATTGAAACTGGTTCTTTCCTAGGTTCTGCTCCTTTCTGTGGCAATGAAGGTAGTGTCTTTAGGTTGAATATGACTCTTTCAAGAGATACATGCTTTGTGACCCTGTGCAAGTTGATTTGCATTGGAAGTTTGCAGTAAATGTCAAAGGCATGCTGGTGGGAATGAGACGATGGAATACCTTGTGATAACAGTGTGTGTGTACTTAGTAAATTATATTCTTATGAGCACAGCTTGTACATGAGAAAGGAGAACCATGACTGAAAAGATTCTGAAAACCTCTGAGACTCAAAAAACACCGACAATTTTTTAAGGAAATACCAGTATCCTGATTTAATATTTTAAGGCCATTAACATCTGTTGGTTTGTAGAGATGGTCAAACTGTGACAATGATTATGGAACCAACTTTCCTAGGGGACTGATCTTAATACTACACTAGATCTTTCAAATGCAAAGTGCTGTGCTAATGACATTTTACATTTATTCTTCAGGTGTAGCTTGAGTGCTTTTGCCAACGTAACAACCAATGACCTTTACTTCAGTGATTTTTGTGTTCATTTATAAATGCTTCAGGGCTTTCTTTCTCCCCTCCTTTGTTTAAATGTCTCTAGTATAGAATATAGAACATTATAAATCAGAACGTGTCTTCTCAGCGGTCAAATTACTGAGTGATGCCTTAACTGCTTCAAGTGATTTTTGACTTTTCAGTGTCCCCTAAATAACTGTAGAAAGCATTGGTAACATTGAAAGGCTTTTCTATTTTTCAATATCAGTTCTGCATGGGAAGAAGGAAAGCAAGCTGCTTCCCTGTGACTAGAAAGTTTAAAAGATTCTTGAAATAGAGTTTATGCAGTATACTTTGTTTGAACAGTACAGTTCCCTTCTTTGACTAGTATTGAAGCTTATTTTTCTGAAACATATAGTTATGTCTGCTTTCCGTGGTCTGACTGGTTGTAAATGCTAACAATAGATAAGTTTTATTCTTTCCTCATGACCCCTTATACAACCATCAGTGACAAGCAAGTATGTTACTGTTAAGTTTCGTAGAATCATGAAATAGTTAGGGTTGGAAAGGACCTTGAGATCATCTAGTTCCAACCCCCCTTCCCTGGGCAGGGACACCTCACACTAAACTATGCTACCTAAGACTCTGTCCAACCTGGCCTTGAACACTGCCAGGAATGGAGCACTCACAACTTTCCTGGGCAACCCATTCCAGTGCCTCATCACCCTCACAGTAAAGAACTTCTTCCTTATATCCAATCTAAACTTCCCCTGTTTAAGTTTTAACCCATTACCCCTTGTCCTATCACTACAGTCCCTAATGAAGAGTCCCTCCCCAGCATCCCTATAGGCCCCCTTCAGATACTGGAAGGCTGCTATGAGGTCTCCACGCAGCCTTCTCTTCTCCAGGCTGAACAGCCCCAACTTTCTCAGCCTATCTTCATATGGAAGTTGATCCAGTCCCCTGATCATCCTCGTGGCCCTCCTCTGGACTTGTTCCAACAGTTCCATGTCCTTTTTATGTTGAGGACACCAGAACTGCACACAATACTCCAGGTGAGGTCTCACGAGAGCAGAGTAGAGGGGCAGGATCACCTCCTTCGACCTGCTGGTCACGCTCCTTTTGATGCAGCCCAGGATACGGTTGGCTTTCTGGGCTGCAAGCGCACACTGAAGCCGGCTCATGTTCATTTTCTCATCAACCAGCACCCCCAAGTCCTTCTCTGCAGGGCTGCTCTGAATCTCTTCTCTGCCCAACCTGTAGCTGTGCCTGGGATTGCTCCGACCCAGGTGTAGGACCTTGCACTTGGCATGGTTAAACTTCATGAGGTTGGCATCAGCCCACCTCACAAGCGTGTCAAGGTCCCTCTGGATGGCATTCCTTCCCTCCAGCGTATCAACCGAACCACACAGCTTGGTGTCGTCAGCAAACTTGCTGAGGGCGCACTCAATCCCACTGTCCATGTCAGCGATGAAGATGTTGAACAAGACTGGTCCCAACACCGATCCCTGAGGGACACCACTCGTTACTGGTCTCCAGCTGGACACTGAGCCATTGGCCACAACTCTTTGCATGTGGCTGTCCAGCCAGTTCCTTATCCACGGAATGGTCCATCCATCAAATTGATGTTTCTCCAACTGAGAGACAAGGATGTCGTGTGGGACAGTGTCGAATGCTTTGCACAAGTCTAGGTGAATGACATCAACTGCTCTACCCCTGTCCATCAGTTCTGTAGCCCCATCATAGAAGGCTATCAAATTGGTCAAGCAGGATTTCCCCTTAGTGAAGCCATGCTGGCTGTCACCAAGCACCTTGTTGTTTTTCATGTGCCTTAGCATGCCTTCTGGGAGAATCTGTTCCAAGATTTTTCCAGGCACAGAGGTGAGACTGACTGGTCTGTAATTCCCTGGTCATCCATTTTCCCCTTCTTGAAAACGGGGGTTATATTTCCCTTTTTCTAGTCACTGTGAACTTCACCTGACTTCCATGATTTTTGAAATATGATGGCCGGCAGCTTAGCAACTTCATTTGCCAGCTCCTTCAGGACCCGCGGATGGATTTCTTCAGGTCCCATGGACTTGTGCACGTTTAAGTTTTTAAGATGGTCTCAAACCAGATCGTCTCCTACAGTGGGCCTAGGGTCTTCATTCTCACAGTCCTTTTGTCTGCTTTTCAAGACTTGGGTGGTATGGTCAGAGCCTTTGCCAGTGAAGGCGGAGGCAAAGAAGTCATTAAGAACCTGAGTTCTAAGTTTCTGAGTACTAAGTTATTTGAATACCTGAAATTTAACTATCTCTAGATCATCTTCACTGACCTGCTATGTTAAAAGTACATTTCTTTTTGGGGGGCAGAGGACTAGTGATATCTGTTGTAGATACTCATTCTAACATGAAGATTGTGCAAATATTTTCTTTTAATTTTACTTTATTTTTATTTATTAGGAGCAGTACACTAATTCTGGTGAGCCCTAACCCATCACTTGCCACAAAACCTGCATTAATTCCTTGGAGTGGCCTAATCTATATCCATTGTGATAATGGACAAAAGGTTCGTGGCTTACTTGAGAGTTGGGATTGAAACTCTTTGTTTTACTGTGCTGGATAAGGTCTGGTAACATTGCTAAAATCTTTTAGGTGTGAAACAGCAGTTTTCTCAACTTTCATTATTCTCTCTAATTTGTAAAGTTGTCTTATAAGAATAAATATAGTTGTGAGGCTGTTGCGCAAATTGAGATTCTTAGTTCATTTCATCTCTGAAGAAATAATATGATGTGAATGCTTACTCATTTGTCAGCAAAATTTCATCTGTGCACCCACCACTGCCTTATGCATCATTTTCTAAAATGCTAAATATCTATATGTATGAATATATAAAAGTAGTCTATGTAATATTTTTTAAAAAAAGAAATTAAAGAAGGTTGTGGGACAAGTTACCATAGCTTCTTTTGAGCTGCCTTAAGCTAAACTTAATGTGCTGGCTGACAAGTCTGTGATAAAGAATGTCTAGACTAGGTTCTTGCTTTTCATGCATTTTAACCCAGTACTTTTCCCTGATTAAGTTAAGGCATATAAATAAAACTTATGAAGCCAACAGTTTCTTCTTTCATCAGTTTAAAAGCAGAAAGACTCCTTGCTAATCTCCCCCCAAAATAAATAGATACTTGTTTTTTTTGTTTTTACAGCCAGTATGTATTTTGGGTTAATTGCAACTGCATGGAGAGGGAAATAAAACAGTGAAAGGATAAAAAAGGCATATCTACTTTCCTTCTTAATGGAGGAAGGTGCGGTAAGAAACAAAATTGGAAACTGCCTTAAAAAGACCCCAAACAAACAGGGAAGTTGTTGAAGAGAGTGAATTGAGAAGGAAATGAAGAAAGTGCACATATTTAACTATGTAATGTTCTACAATACGAGAAAAGGATTTGAGAGGAAATCTCCTAGGACAAAAGTAGAGAATGTAGCAAACTCAGTCCAGTTGTAAGAGATCTGGTAGTTCCATAATGCTTTTGCCATTTCTTTGCTACCTATCTAATTAAGCAAAAAGTATGCCAAGATTTGACTAGCATTAACTGAAGTTTTTAGAAGTGCTAATTATGTATCAAAAGTGAACACAAAGCTCCTTCTGTTTGAGGCAGCCCCATTCTCATTCTCTGCAAGCAGAGAATATTGTAAGAATTTTCAATTAAATTTATTATTCCTATTGAAGCAAAATGTCTAGATAGCAAACTTTCAGTAAATTTTCCAATTCTCCTACATTAAGCTTGTCCTAAAATCTTTAAACTTTGTGAACTGAAGTTAGTCTCATACACTAAATCACCAGGTCTTCTCCTTTGTTGGAATGTAAAGCTAAGCAACATGAGCTCTTCTAGCTCAAGGAAATAGAGCTATATTGTTTGTCTTGTCAATATATCCATGTTCACTATTTAAATATTTCTTTCTCTCCAAATTCTGCAAAAGTTTATTAAAGTGCAGATTCGAGAGGCAGTTAGACAGTATGCGCCTGGAGCAGATTTTTCATCTCGAAGATGCGATACGTTTACTCCACAGTCTGAAAATCCTACTGTTCATGTGCCAAAGGCTCTCACTGTGCTCCCTTTAACAAAAATGGAACTAAAGAACAGAACCATTGTTTTTCCTAAAACAAGACCTGGCCAAAGCTCAGGTAATACTGCTTGCTTACTAAATGATGCAACGTCTGTAGTATCTTGTGGTCAGTTTGCTATATTGTATGTTTTGGGACTTGAATGGCTTAGTTGACCAGTTCCCTTACTCTGTCTCTAGTTTGAAATGTTGTTCGTTGTGATGGAACTCTTTTCAGAAGTCCTTTTTTAGTTTTTTATTTTTTTATTTTTTTTACTTTTTCCTTCTTTTCCTCCCCATCTCCCTTCTTTTTTGTCTTCTCCTCATGCAGGACAGTCACACTTTTTCCCACAGATAGCTTTTGTGTACAACAGGTAAGTTGCCGATTTTTAAGCAGCTATGATGAATGTAACCATACTGTGCCTGGCAAAAAGGGCACTGTGAGATTGCTGCACTTTGGTGAAGCTCTTTTGGGTCAATGCACGTTTGCAGTAGGCCCATTCTCATCTGTGTATGTGTCCCTGAGATACAAGCTAAATCTGTGTATAGCAGAGAAATAAATGTTCTTTCTTAAGATGATAGGAATGTTAGCTATGAATCTGGCTATCCTTGTCTTGTACTTAATGATTGAGGAGGACACTGTTGATAATGGAGTCTTAAATCCTCAGTCTGTACTTGTAATTCCAGTAATGCTTGGAATTCTCCAAATTACTGTACGAAACTGTCATTCTGTTACCTAGATACCAGATTTTTTGGTACAGCTTAGTTTTCTAGGTAATGAGGGTTTTTTTATGATTCACTGATGCTACATTTTTATTCAACAGACTTTAGAAATTTCAAGTCTTAATTTATCAATTATATCTGGGTTTCTTTCATACACTTAAGAAAGAGGAGCATAATATAATATTCCTTTCTTTTTCTATTGCTATAAATGCGCTGTATAATACATATGCAGCTGAACTTCCTGAAGTGCTACTCTAGACTGAGATGATCTTACAAATCTTCTGTTGATCCTTGGCAAAATGCACATTTCAGGTGTGAAATATGCCTATTGATAACTGTTGAAGTTGGGATTTTCTGACAATTTATTTTGTATAAACTGTCAAGAATTTTATGATAGTGTGCTTTGAGTCTGCTCTTGGAGTTGGCTTCACCAGAACTGTTTCCTTCATGTCTTGAAACATAGTTTCTGTCTAAATTCTTTCCACTAAAGATACTTGAATGAAGACGTTTAATATACTAATCTGATAATTCTCTTCTAGAGAGTTACCTGGAAATGGAGAATAAAGGGGACGAAACTCTGAAGTGGTTTTTGTCATCTTTTGCCCCACCCTATGTTAAAGTAAGCGAATGATTGCATTGGTAGTTTTATGCATATTTCTTGGGTGGTTTTCCTGCTTTTCATGCTGCTCTCTTTTTCTCCTTCCAACCTCTCAAGAAAGTTTCCTTCTCCTCATCCCGTATGACCATCCAGATTGCAGTATGTAATTAAGTGTGCATAGAAGAGGGGTGTTCCTTTTGGCTGCAGAATGCTAAACTTGCCTTGTTTCGAGACTTGTACTGCTGTTATGCTGTACATGTTACCCATGTAGGTAATTTAAGTTAGGTCAAGGATATTTGAATTACACTGCTGTTGCTTTTGCAGTTCTCATGGATTTACTGTCGATATTTGTAAATGCTTTGCTGTTTTTTTTTTGATAGTCTGAAATGTGGTGATGGTCACATTGATTTTTATCCTAGAATTATTGTGCTCTGTTGTCAAGAAATGATGAAAAATGGTTATGTAGCAGTCTTAGCTGTAGCCCAGAAGATGACTGTGCCATGTTCCAGGCAGTGCACCACCTTATATCTACTGACGTCCTATTTAGGTGGCTGCATAGTTGTTGTAGCAGTTTTAGTCATTATTCATTTGTCTTTAGGAAGTCAGTATTTGTTCACTTGAAAGCAGCTTGATTGGGCGTATTTTCTTCAGTTCTGTGCAATGGTAGTGGGTGTATTGTGTGGTTTGGGTTTTTTTGTGTTGTGTTCTTGTTTTCTTTCCCATCTGAATCTGACTCATAACTTTATTTGCAGGATGTGGATGGAACTGGATGCGTTTATAGAGTTACTTACTCCGCTTTCAGATGTTCCCGTGTTTCTGGTACTCTTGAAGCTCATGGAGAAGAGAAGGTACAATGACACACTATTATGCATGAAATATTTATATCTCAGTTGTAAAAATAGGATTTTATGTGACAAGCTCTCTGAAATAACAGTTGAAATTACAAGCAGGTTGTATTTTATCAAATTATGATAAAATGACCTTCCACAGCTGCGTTCTGGGGAGTATCAGGTAGTCACTATCTACTTACCACAACTGTTACAATGTCAGCTGAGTAGATTCTATGGATTTATGTGATCTGTAGTTTGGCTTCAATGTACTATTTTGGTTTCTTTTTTTATTTTGTTCCTTTTTTTTTTTTTTAAGATAAATTATTCTATAACAGAAAATTGTTTCTAAATCTTTTATAAGAATCCACTAGAAAATCACAAATAATGCTGAGTTCTTATGAAACTGGTGTGAGAACTGGTTTCCCTTCCTTTGAAGCAGTCTTGTCATACTTGTTTAATAACAGTTATCTGTTCTTCACGTTGATCTCATTTGACTGACTATTTTATCTCCTGACCAGTAGAGGGTTTCATAACCACAATTATCAAGTACATCCAAGGACATACTGAGTGGGTTTTTATGGGGCTTTTGTCCCTCATCTTCTCCCTCAATGCTACTTCACTGCTGTTCATATTCATGAACACCTATCTTTTAATCATTATGGATTATTGACATTCCTTAACTGTATTATTTCTACGATTCTATGATAGGATTTTTAATCTGTTTGCACAATTAAAAAAACTACACTTTCTCCTGTCCAGTTTCACAATTATTTCATAACATTGAAAAATCATTATTTGAATTTAAACAGTTGTCTTTGCCTTAGCAATCCTAGTTCAGGCTTATTTGGATAACATTTACATTATTGGCATGTCAGGCCATTGGCTGGAGCAGATAAGGTACAGTGCTATTGTGGTTTGCTGTTTTTTGCAGTGGGTATGATGATTGGCTAATTTGATATACCTGTAGTGGTCTATTCTAATCTGCTGCTCCCCTTTTCTTTCTTCCCCCAACCTCAACTTCGAACACAATTCCTGAATTTACCTGGTACACCACTATACAGAGACAGGCGTTTGTTACACAGGTTACCTCCAGGGGTAACCAAATGCATAGCCTGCAAGTTGATTTAAATTTCAGGCCTTTTAGTATTTGTAGCACAGTGTGTTTACAGACTTGGAGCTGAAGGAGTGCAGTTGTTCATAGCTTACCTGAGAGATGAGGGTATTGCTGTCTTTCAGCTGCATGTTTTTCCTCTTGGTCTCCTTCTACCCCATTTTGCTAATGGAAATAATTGTGCAAGCATTTGCTGACTTTGCTTAAAGCAGATTAGCTGAACTCAGGTTTTGTTTGAAATTGCTTGCACAATCTATTTCATCAAAACTTTTTCTCTTGTGAGCAAACGAGGATGAGCTGTATTGTTTTGTGCAAGATTACCTGTATGAGGAATGTATGATCTGTAGCATGTAAGCTTTGTGCTGACTTGACTGTAACTTTGTGTAGGTAAGATTTTGAAGATGTGTAGATTATTTTAACAAGCTTCTGTGAATTAATTTTTTTCTCTTGTTGTAGGTTGTTGTCATCTTTTTGCCTAGAGATATAGGGGATTACTCCCAGTTCTGGGATCTTGAGTGTCACCCGGTTGAAAAACCTGGTTGGAAACACAAATTAAGATTTCAGCTTTCTGGAGCAGTAAGTATATAAATGCTATAAATGTTGGCCTGAAAACAAATTTTTGGTAGCATTTTAATTTTACTGTACAGTACTCTTTATTGTATGTGCTGGTGTATTCTGAAAAAAAACCACAACCCAAACCCAGACTGTGCTGATATTTTTGTTGGACTAAACTGTACTGTTTTCTTATGCTACAAAAATACCTTTTTCACCCTGCTTATGTGATACTGAATTATCTTTTTCCATTTAAGATGTAAAATTTTATTTTGCTGAAAGAAACTAGAGACAAACTTGCTTTCTGTGGGAACTGCTTTTGTAGATGCAGATTTGTTTGTATCAAACCCTAAGTGGAATGGTTTTATTTTTGTAAATAACCTAACAAAGTAATTGACCATTGCTATAGTTTGTAGCTTAATGCAATATTGGAATTTTCAAATATCCATATTGGAGATATGGTTGCGTCTCTGATAGAATCTGTTCAAGAATTTTATTGGGAGCAACAATTCCCATCCAGGTGGGAATGAATTTGAGAACTCTTTGTAGGAGTGAATGAACTGCAGCTCATCTTTGCTCACCTATTGTTCCTCAGCTCTAACTTTATGGTGAGGCTTGGAAGGAGGAGGGGTTGGGAGTTAGAACTGTTTTTCTCTGTGAGCTCTCCTTACCTTGCTTTTAATCCCTGTCTCTGTACAGTAGGAGTCTACATAGGACAGAGAATCTATTACTATTGAGAAGAATGAATTCTAATGATTGTTTAAATGACCTTACTATAGAATCATAGTATCAACAGTGTTGAAAAAAGACCTTTAAGATAATAAAGTCCAACAGTTACCCCAGGACTTGCAAGTCCATCTCTAAGCCATGTCACTAAGGGCCTCATCTATGCATGTTTTCAACACTTCCAGGGATGGTGATTCCACCACTGCCCTGGGCAGCCTGTTCCAATGCGTGATCACCCTTTCATTGAAGAAATTTTTCCTGATATTTAGTCTAAACCTCCACTGGTGCAGCTTGAGGCCTTTTCCTCTAGTGCTATCACTTATTACTTGGGAGAAGAGACCAATGCCCACCTCTCTCTGTCCTTCTTTCAGGTAGTTATAGAGAGCAATAGCGTTCTCACTGAGCCTCTTTTTCTCCAGACTAAACAACCCCAGTTCCCTCAGCTCTTCCTCTTAAGACTTGTGCTCTAGACCTTTCACCAGCTTTGATGTCCTTCTCTGGACCTCTGCCAGCAGCTTAATTCCAGCTCTGTGAAGAGCTTTCTACACTCAGTATTGCGTGATAGCTATATATGCTTTCCTGTCCTCTTCAGAAAGCTAGACTTGATTTTCTGAGAAGCCCAGACAGAGATCTGGGACCTTTCTTTAGAGTACCAAGCTTGTTTCAGTAGTAGGAACTTGACTTATCCTTCTTGCTGGGTTACCTTACCTTTTATTTTGTAGGGTCCTTGTTCTTCCCAGTACTTAATTGTGTTGAAAAGAGGACTTGTTAAAAATGTGTTTTTTTAATAGCTTCTAATTTTGGCATGAAGAATGAGATCTGTATAATGTTTGGTTTGGGAGGATATTTTTACTCAGCTTTCATCTTATTCTTTGAACATAATTTTCCTTAAAATGAGGAAAGCGTCTGTCATTTGTCTGTTTAAAACTAGATGAAATTGAGAGATTCATTCTTTATCAGAAATCCAGAGTTTTGAATAATTTTCTTCTTAAAACACGACTAACTGTCAGAGTTGTGGAAATCTTTGAGCAGCACAACTTGATATTAATGTTTTTGAATGTGTCAGATTTGTTCCTCTTTTTTTTTTTTTAAAGCTGTTACAATTAGATCTTTTCAACATCTCTTTGTGCATATGGGAAAATTTTTGTATAAAGTACTTGCAATGTGCCATTATCACTTTGAAGAAGAGTTTAAAGGGAAGTACTTCCTTTCTGAACTCAATAAGGAACTACACAGCTGCTTGTAAGAGGGGACAACGCAGAACTTAAGTTGTTGCTGTTTTTAATTCAGATCCACTTCTGGTCAAGAAGACATGTCAGTTCCAACCTATTATATCCTAGAGATCTAACTACAACTTTGAAAAGGACTTGTTCTGCTGGATTTGCTGAGGCAGAGGGCTATGGCTCTGGTTAATGTGACTTTTGATAGAATGAAGTTGGAAAACTGACTGACTGTCATTCAGAGTAACTGAGTGGTATTTATTTAAAGGACGGCTTCAAAAGAAATTAAAAATTTGGAATAACTCAGGAAAGATCTAAAAGAACAAGGTGATGTTAGGAAAATTAGTGGCACTTACTATTTTTGTTATTCCCTGAAAAGCTCACTGACTGTGACTTTGATTATGCCCTTCATGCATTTGCAGTTCCCACCACTGGAAGCAGTAGTCAGGAGCTCAGAAGATAATGTGTCCAGAAGTGATCCCAAAAATAACTAAAGGAGGGATTCTACATACACATTCTTTGTAACCTCAACCTTCTCAATACTGGCCATTCAAACTTAGTTTTCTCTTTTCCTGTGAAACAGTTTCTAAGATCATTGAGCTAAGAAAGAGTATTGCCACTGTGCACTGAAGTCTTGGGTTGATATTTCAGTGTAATTGTTGGTCTTTTCTGAGTGAAATTGGGAATTGGCAAGATCCTACCGGACAACTGAGGTGGCACTGAAGTTCAGATTGCTCCATTAGCATGTACAAAGTTGAGCACTTCATAAAGTTTGAAGATACTACAGATGTTAAGCGCATATCATTTTCTAATGTTCATGGTTTATGCAGTTTAGATGTGCAACTATGCGACTTCTTAAGGTAGCATTTTGCGAAAAACTGAGCTGGATTTCTTAATACTTAAAAGAAAACATATTGCTATCTAAGAGTCCTGGTTTTACTCTTTTTATCAGCAGTACAGAGCTTCATCTTCTTTGGGTATACCAGAAGTGAGAGGAGGAAAATATCTTTAAACTCTATGAGCAAAGTAATTCCAATTTTAAAGCTAAACAAATTTGTATACTCCTGAGGTGGCTTTGGAACAAGAGCTCTCAGTTATAACCATCTGTACAGTGTTAATATACTGCTTTCATTTGAAACGGGAAAAGTCAGTATGGGCTATGGTAAAGCATGTAGTACTTCAGGATGCCCTTATAAATACTGGGGAACTTCTGATGATTTTTCCATCTCCTTCTTCTCATGCTGTAAACTTGCCTTATTGATAAATTAGAATTTGACTTATAATACTGAGGCAGGATACCCCTAATTTTTACTACATAGGAAATTAAAAGCTCTTGAAGTGAGACACATGCACAGATCCTTTCTTGTCTTTATCTACTGGGTTCTACTGTTATTGGTTATTTGCAATGGAAAATTTTCTGTAAATTTAAGGTTTGGGTTTTTTTTTTTGGCTGCTGCTATTTCTGACAGACTGATTGATTAGCAGCTCTTTCACTAGAAGAAATTAATGTCTAAAAGACAAGTTTGTCATAGCAGCTCTATTGAAGAGGAATATTTTTTTTAATCTTCCCTGCGTAAGGGAATCAACTGCTTGTCTAAAAATGTCAGCACCGTTTCAGAAATTGAGATAATGTTGTACAACCGTAAGTGTAGGAGGTTCTTCTGGTCCTTTAGCTTTGTCCAAGATGTTGTGGCTCAAGTGGCTCCAAGCAGTACCTGGCTAGAGTTGTTACAGACTACAGAATATGAAACTAGCTCTTTAGCGAAGTATTCCCTTAGGGTGATCTGGCCTCATTGTGCTAGAGTACATGGAATGGGCGTCCTGATGATGGTAAATATTTTGGCCTAATTTCAGAATGTAACAATTAGTATATAATGCATTACCAGATTCTGTCTCTCTGGAGAGACCTTTCTTTTAGAAGGATGTATTGTTCATAATAAAAAATTATTACAAAGCTTTTTTGCTGTTGTGAGAATCCAAACTATAATGATGACTTAGGCCTTCCTTCTCTATGAGCAGCTGTTTAGCTGACACTGTTCTTGAGGCATATGGGCAGAATATCTGCAGAGGAATGTTTTTTGTTTGGCTTTTGGTGGAATCTTCATTGCTAGCAGCCTTCTCAAGATTCCACCTGCGCTGCTGGTTTGTTGTGAGCTGGCTTGTAACAAAATACTCGTACGACACAGAAACCTGTTAAAGTATTCCTCCTAAGACACTGCTTCTGTTTCAGTGATCCAGACTCTCCTCCTTATGGAAGATTATACTTTAAATAAATTAAAGTCTTGGATTGGGTAAGGGAAATGACTTAAATGTTTGAATACTTAAATACTTTTTGAATGCAAAGTTTAAAGTCTTCTCTATTTTTGCCAATAGGGTAGTAGAACAGAAAATGAAACTTTAATTGTGAAAGATTCTGCAAGTGCCTTCCCAAAAACTGAGCTTTCAGTCACACCAGAAAAGGTTTACTCTGAAGCACCTACAATTAAAGTAGGGTATGTATGAATAAAACTTGAAATGAGGGTCTGCAACTGGGTAAAAAGGGGAAGGGAGTAATAGGAATCCAATAGGACAAGGGATGTGATGGAACAGGCTGCACAGAGAGGCTGTGTGGTCTCTGTCCTTGAAGGTTTTGGGGATCTGACTGGATAAAGCCCTGACCAGCCTGGTCTGACCTCACAGCTGACCCTGGTTGGAACAAGAGGATGGAATAGAGACCTCCTGAGTCTCTTTTGAACTGAGTTATCCTATGATTCCAAGCTAAAGAGTAAACAGCTGCAAAGAAACTAGACTTGCCAAGCCTCTTAATGGCTTTGTATTGTTCAGCCTTCTGTGCTTTTGAGTTGGGTTTCTAAGTTGCCAAACCTTGATTTGCTGTTGCAAATGAACTGGTATTAGCAGTCGAATCTTGAGCGTATTTTTTGTATAATCCCCTTCTGGAGAGAATTTACAGGTAAAGTGACCTGTAGATTCACTTCAGAGAAGACCACTGTAACGGCATGTCTTAACCTTACTGTTCTTCAGTGTTAATTCCTGTTTCTCTTCCTATGGGATGCTGTGAACATGGCAGGGAAGTAAAATATTTTGATTAAATGTAGCATCTCTGAGAAGAGTTTAGTTCTCTATGAAAGCATATGGGGGAAAAGTTCAGATTGTGAACATGTGTTTAAGTATATCTACTTACCTTTATGCCACAGTGATGCTTTCACTATTTCTGACTAAACTGTAACTTGTGAGAGTTAATGCCTTCAGGATCTTTCAGTGTTTCCCGATTTAGTCTCAAAAAATACATCCGTTGTCTTGAAATATACAATCAATATATTCAGACCGTGTAAGTAGGAAATGTTAATATCTTAAATCTCTTTTTCAAATCAGACAAAACGAGATCATTCGAGGGGTGTATGCACCAGAAGACCTGTATATTTTCCCTGTAACTACAGTTGGGGAATCACGCACGATAAAGGTCAACTTGCGGAATAATACCTTTGCAACACATGTGGTAAGTTTGACAGACTTTATTTTAAATAGATTTTCATAAGCCCTTGCAGCAGTTCATCTGCACTGTTTTTGTTTACTCTTGACAGATTACAGTAGTACGAGTCTTAGTTTGTTAGTGTCAAAAGTTAGTATTATATTTGAAGAAATTTACTCTCCTGTAGCTTTCCCCTTTTCTTTTGCCTGACTGAAACATTAAGTGTATTTGTAATATATTTTCAGTTGAAAAAAAAGAATAGATTATGGTTTGCATAGACATATTATCTTGATTTATTTAATTTTTTAACTTGAAATATTGAGATGTGAATGTTTATTACCATACATAATTGTGTGCGTGCTTCAATTTAAAACCCTGGGTCTGTGAAGAATCCTAGAATAGTTAGGGTTGGAAAGGACCATAAGATCGTCTAGTTCCAACCCCCCTGCCCTGGGCAGGGACACCTCACACTAAACCATGTCACCCAAGGCTCTGTCCAACCTGGCCTTGAACACCACCAGGGGATGGAGCACTCACAACCTCCCTGGGCAACCCGTTCCAGTGCCTCATCACCCTCACAGTAAAGAGCTTCTTCCTTATACCCAATCTAAACTTCCCTTGTTTAAGTTTTAACCCATTACCCCTTGTCCTGTCACTACAGTCCCTAATGAAGAGTCCATCCCCAGCACCCTTGTAGGCCCCTTTCAGATACTGGAAGGTTGCTATGAGATCTCCACGCATCCTTCTCCAGGTTGAACAGCCCCAACTTTCTCAGCCTATCTGCATATGGAAGGTGATCCAGTCCCCTGATCATCCTCGTGGCCCTCCTCTGGACTTGTTCCAACAGTTCCATGTCCTTTTTATGTTGAGGACAGCAGAACTGTACACAGTACTCCAAGTGAGGTCTCACGAGAGCAGAGTAAAGGGGCAGGATCACCTCCTTCGACCTGCTGGTCACGCTCCTTTTGATGCAGCCCAGGATACGGTTGGCTTTCTGGGCTGCAAGTACACACTGCTGGCTCATGTTCATTTTCTCATCAACCAGCACCCCCAAGTCCTTCTCTGCAGGTCTGCTCTGAATCTCTTCTCTGCCCAGCCTGTAGCTATGCCTGGGGTTGCTCCGACCCAGGTGTAGGACCTTGCACTTGGCATGGTTAAACTTCATGAGGTTGGCATCAGCCCACCTCACAAGCGTGTCCAGGTCCCTCTGGATGGCATTCCTTCCCTCCAGCGTATCAACAGAACCACACAGCTTGGTGTCATCGGCAAACTTGCTGAGGGTGCACTCAATCCCACTGTCCATGTCAGTGATGAAGATGTTGAACAAGACCGGTCCCAACGCCGACCCCTGAGGGACACCACTTGTTACTGGTCTCCAGCCGGACATTGGGCCATTGGCCACAACTCTTTGCATGTGGCCATCCAGCCAGTTCCTTATCCACGGAGTGGTCCACGTATCAAATTGATGTCTCTCCAATTGAGAGACAAGGATGTCGTGGGGGACAGTGTCAAACGCTTTGCACAAGTCCAGGTAGATGACATCAACTGCTCTACCCCTGTCCATCAGTTCTGTAGCCCCATCATAGAAGGCCACCAAATTGGTGAGGCAGGATTTCCCCTTAGTGAAGCCATGGTGGCTGTCACCAAGCCCCTTGTTGTTTTTCATGTGCCTTAGCATGCCTTCCAGGAGAATCTGCTCCAAGATTTTTCCAGGCACAGAGGTGAGACTGTCTGGTCTGTAATTGCCCGGGTCATCAATTTTCCCCTTCTTGAAAATGGGGGTAATATTTCCCTTTTTCCCGTCATTGGGAACTTCACCTGACTGCCATGATTTTTGAAATATGATGGACAGTGGCTTAGCAACTTCATTTGCCAGCTCCTTCAGGACCCGTGGATGGATTTCTTCAGGTCCCATGGACTTGTGCACATTCAGGTTTTTAAGATGGTCTCAAACCAGATCCTCTCCTGCAGTGGGCCTAGGGTCTTCATTCTCACAGTCCCTGCGTCTGCCTTCCAAGACTTGGGTGGTGCGGTCAAACCGTTTGCCAGTGAAGACTGAGGCAAAGAAGTTATTAAGAACCTCAGCCTTCTCCAAATCCAGGGCAACCAGTTCTCCTGAGAGCTTCTGGAGAAGGGCTCATGTTGTCCCTAATGTCTTTTATTTGCAGTTTACCTATAGAATCCCTTCCTGTTAACCTTAACATCCCTAGCCTAGTTTAATTCTGACCGGGCCTTAGCTTTCCTAACCTGGTCCCTAGTTTCTTGAACACCATCCCTGTATTCTTCCCAGGCTGCCTGTCCTTGCTTCCACCTTTTATAAGCCTCTTTTTTTCCCTTTCCTTCTAAGTTACCTCAGCAGCGCCTTATCCATCCCAGGAGGTCTCCTGGCCCTCCTGCTGCACTCCCTTCTAGTTGGGACACAACACTCCTGAGCTTGCAGTAGGTGATCCTTTAATATCGACCAACAGTCTTCAGCCCCCCTGCCCTCTAGGGCAATATCCCATGGAACCTTACTAAGCAGGTTCCTGAAGAGGCTGAAGTCTGCTCTCTAAACCAGTGTAAAGCTTTATTTGTAAGTGACCTGATTTATCTTAAACATGTCATAAATTGAGTATGCTAGGCTTAGATATAGTGCGCTTTTAAGCATTTTGTATTAAATTGCAGCTGAAATTTGGAAGTCCCAGAGAGCCTTTCTACATCAAGCACTCAAAATACTCTCTAAGGTGAGTAATGCATATGCTAACATTCTCTCCTAACAAAAAATTAAACAAGAAATTCAGTAAGATAAATATCTTCTCTGTATGTACAGTGCTGAAATGTAGATGTAAGTACCTAACATTCTGGCTGTCTAGTTAAAGGGTTTTTTTGGGTTTTTTTTTTTAGTAAAAGGATTTTTTTTTCTTTTTGCTAAGCTGTACTCTGTAATCTTGGTTAGAAGCAGAATGAGCCCACACAGTTATTTCTGCATCTGCCAATTTCTTCCTTGCAAATTGTTTCTAACAGTGCTGCTGCTTTTAATGCTAAGCCTCGAAGCATTCTTCATTTAACCATTTGGCATGCTGTGCGCAATCAAATCATTCCTTCCATTTATACTTTCTGCACAACAGTCCAAGCAAATTGCCTTCATCATGCCTCTAATTTGACAAACCTGCAGAGCTGCATCAAAGATTCTTAGCAAATACAGGGTTTGAGTGGCCAGTGGAATTGCCTGGTCACACCAAGTATTTCAGCACATCACCTGCATAAAAGGAATTTTCAAGTTAGTGATAACAATCCCTCAGAATAAATCCAGTCATCTTTGGAGTTCATTACAACAAGTATTTGACAGTCTATTAGTCATCTCTTCAAAAAGTATAGCATCTCACATGCTTCTCTGTAACAGTGGTATTGTCAGGAGGACAGAAATGCAACCATTTCATTAGAAGTCATATATATAGCATACATTCTTAGAGTTTAAACAGATCCCCATTTTAAAGACAGGGAAACAAAGGGCATGTAGAACAGAAATTATGAACAAAATCGTAAATGGAACTAGATACTCTGGCTCCTAGTCTAGTTTTGTATCTGCCAACAATACTTAACGTTTATGATAAAGACAACTCTATGGTGGTGTTAGCCACAGGTATTCAGGGTATTCTTAAGCCACTTTCCAGTGTGAAGTGTTAGACATGGGTTCCAGTGTTTTTATTGAACTGGCATCTTTTTACGAAGTATGTCATATTAGATGGCACAGAAGGGCTTTTTATGGAGGCCGTGACCAAGGTTAAATTTATTAAAATGAAGATGACTAGCTAGACCTGTCTGAGGCTGTACCACTGCAAAGGGCAGGATAACTTGCCTGCCCTGAAAAAGAAGATGAGTAACTTCACTGGAAAACAGTTAGATGTCTAAAAAAAATTCTTGCAGAATGCTGTCAAAGCTATTTATTAGATTATCTGTAAGAGATGACAAACTCCTATTGCTTTTATTGAAAATAGACTTTAATAAGTTTAGAATTCAGTCTACCATTTTAAAGGTTATCAGCTGAATATACTGCACCTTCTAATAGCATTCTACAACCTTTTCTTTTAGTAACTTCAGCAGTTTTTTCTTCCGTTGTAAATATTGGCCTTTCCTGGCTTTTTAAAAATTCATTCATCTGAAGCAGCTATTCCATTTAAGAGCATAAAGCACAGAATAATTACTTGACTTGAATAGATGCTTTTTTAAAAGTGTTAAAAGAACTTCTCTTTAATGGCTTTTATTTGAGAACAGCATCAAGGAGGATGTCAGAAGAGTCTTTGTTAACTGCTTCCTTCTGAACTAGGTTAACGGGACATCTTACAAATAAGAGTGTGAAAACAAAGTACTACCTATCTTTTAGGGCCAAAAAAGTGTCATGGTCTGTTGCATACTCTTCATTTTGAGGACCAAATTTGAAAGCAATTCTGTGTAATCCAGTTTTAGATCTGGATAATGGAATTTCAAGTTTGTATGTAATACCAAGAGTCTGACCTTCAAAAGCTGATATAGTGGCTTACCTGTTCTTGTTTAATTGTCATTACAAGCATGCATACGTAGCACAGCTGGTTCCTTTACTAAAGTTTACTCAGTTGAAAATAGTAATGAGCTTTATCCAAATACAGTATCTAGCACCCAAAACTGCAAGGGGAAACATTTGAAAACAGCTGACTTTTTTAAAACCTTTGGCTAAGTTCTGTTTCTGAAAGGACTACCAGGTTATGCTTGTCTAAAAAGTTTGAAAAATAAGCTGTTTCTTTTGTATTTCCTTCAGAAGTCATCTGAAATTAGTTGATTACAGGGTAGTATATATTTCATTACTATATATTTCTTAAACTAAAAGGTAAAACTGTTTTATGCTTAACTGTTTTTGTCATCAGTACCCACCATTCTGTGTGTGAGGAGTCATGACAATAGGTCTGGTTACTGTGGCTTAGATGCTGCTTACTCATACTGTTCCTTTTAAACTTGCCTATTGTTGCTACTGTGTTTAGAGGCCTGCAGTATTAGTATGTCTATGAAGTGAGCTTCAGGCATACCTTACTTCTCAGAAAATGCCACTTGAAACTGATGCAACAACCTGTGAGTAACCGAGTTGGAGGCATAGTGAAAAGTTTGAAGTAAAACTTTTTGTTAAGAGAAAACAGTTAGTTGCAGGGAATTCTGCTTGTCTTGGCACTGTTCTTCTTGACTAGCTTCTGGCTATTGGACTTAAGAAAAAGCCTCTAGAAGTGCTTAATTTCTGAGAGCATTTATTCTATATATTAACTCAAAGAGCTGTAGTAGCTGGAGTCAGAACTTTCCCATTTCGCCTTATGTAGGGCCAATATTATGATTTCCAAATGTAGAAGGGTAAGAGCACAGACTGAGTATCATAGGTTGGATTATTGTAGAGGAAAGGAATACGAAAAGGTAGGAACAAAGTAAGGAAAATAAGCACACTCCAGAGAATGCTGGATAATACTGAATACTGTTAAGGGGAGAATACTGAAGCTACAATAAAAGAAAGTAAAGCTGTCTTTTCTTTCCTTGTCTTATTAAGTGATGCTGTTAATTCTTCCTTATTCTAGTATGTGCCTGTTACTGTTTCCTGTCTGTCAGTGCTGGATATTTCTGTTGGATGTCATGGAATCCAATAGGCCACCACTCAGCATTTACAGCTTGTTGCTTGTATAGCTTTATGTCTTTAAAACATTTGCTTTAGGCTCTTGACAATTAAGACAGACACCCATTACATTTGATATGTTTTTGTGCAATCTGAATAAAAGAGGAATTATATAACCTAAAAAGGTGTAATGTAAAATCTTTGCAACACTGTTTGAGGATGGGTGTATTGACTTGCAATGATTCTGCAAAATATTGCTTAATGTGGATGCAATTAGAAGTAATTGAAATTGTTTTACTAGCTTCAAATTGGTGGAATTTCAAAACAAATTGAAAATTTTGGTGTACTTGTCACATGACTTCTGAAGGGAAGTAATATAATAACTTTCTTCTAAATATAGTTTATTCACTGTTTATATTATTGAAAAGAGGCAGACAAAACTTATGTAGGTAAACTAGCAGCAAAGTATTGCAGTACTTTCTGTAAGGAGGAGGAAAGAATGACCTTTACAGTCAAAGCCCCTCAGAAAGATAAGGGATAATAAGATTATAAAAATAAACCTGATGATTCAATGCACATTCAATGTACTATTTTGGTGAAAATCAAAGCTAGACAAGAATTTCTCTATTGAGTAGGATTTACTTGTTTATTAACAGAGAATATGCCATAATTACCTTTTTACAGATCCCATCATTACATCAATGTGCCAGTCCAGTTCAAGCCAAAGGCAGAAGGAAAGTTTGAAGGTGTCTTCGTTGTGTCAACGGCCAAATATGGCTCACTTAATATTCGGCTATGTGGTAAAGCTATTGCAAAAAAATAGAACAGTTTTCTAACTTTATAATAATTTAGACCAGTTTATGCCATTTAAAATATTCAAAGATTTGCTACTACAGTTCCATATTAATGTCCTACTTGTTTTGCCCTATGATGCTGCTTTGATGGAACATCTTTTGTAAGATAAATTACGGTGCTTGTTTTCATAGTAAAACCACTGAGAAATAACATTGTATGTTTTAAAGTTATCATGTTCTAATTTATGTTTCCGCACATTTGTTGAAAAGGGAAGTTTTCTATTTTTGCATTTATTAGGAGTAGCTGGATACTGATCTATTTTATTTTAAGCATTGTAAATACAGAAATAAAATTTATCTGTTAACAGTTGATTCTACCTCATTTCTGTCTTTGGTCAGAGAATTCCTTGCTGTAGGTATGGGGTCAAGCTGCCTACCCTTAGGCAAAGCTAATTTGCTGGGGGGAGCTTTGGGGAGCAGGAGAAGGGATTGCAGTACAGAAGCCAATTTGTTAATAATATGTCTCTGTTAAATCTGGGACCAGATTGAAGATCTGACAGTAAACCCCTAACTTCTCACACAGTTCAGTGGGAGGCATGAGCATTGTTTTAACTCTAACAGTGTGAAAACAGTGTAAATTAAACATGAGCAAGACTGTGTTCAGCCCTCCAGAACGCTTCGTCTAACCCAGTATTCTGTCTCTAGGTGTGGTGAAAAGATGTTGCTTTGAAAGATGATGTAAGCTTGGCTGCTGCCTTTGGTTCGCTTCTCTTGCATTTTCTCAGCATCTGCAGTCATTTGATTAGGGACAGGAGGTAGATTCCCACCTGTCCTTTTTTTTTTTTTTGCACATACGGACCTGTTTTTGAATGTATCTGTTCACCTGTCTGAACCCTTTTACACCTTGTTTGCGCAACTTCATGTGGAAAGCTCTAGAAGTTCACTGTCTGCTCTTTTAACAAAAGGCTTTGGGGGGGTCTTTTTGGTGTGCTGAACTTCCTTCTTTCTAATTTTGGTAAGTACTCAGCAGATCCCATATTGTAGGATTCAATGAACAGCAATTCCACAATCAGCTTACCCACTTTTACCATGTCCTTTGTACGCTTTGGTTCAGCCTGCTGTTTTATTTCTGTAGCATGGAGTTGTATGTCTGAAGTTGCCTTAAGCTAGTAATGTACCTTTTGACAGCATAGTTCTGTCATAGCATATGTACATTATTCCTTTCTTCAGGTTGGTAGAACCGTGAGTGAAATTCCTTTTTAATTCAGGCTGGTAGAATGGTGAGTGAAATTCCTTTTGATGCAAGATTGTTTAACTGCATTTTCAAACAACTGATATATGAAGAAAATGGGAGGAAAACCCTCAAGTACCCAGTGCATTGCCTGTGATGCATGCCACCAATATTATGTTGAAGTATAGTAAAGCTGCTGTTTCGTCATAAAACACTGCTCAGCAGTCTGGAAACCAGGAAGGGAAGATTTACTGAAAGAAGTTAACCTAGACAACAGAAGACTTGCCACCTGCAGTTTAGTCTCACACTCTCAACTTGCTGGTAGTCTTTTCTGAATCAGTTTACCCTTCTTTTCAACAACCTTGCTTTCTCAGTAGAAATTGTCCTTGGATAACTGTCTGTTAATAGGGAACCTGGATAACTGAGGAGGAAGGATCACTATGTGAATAACAGCTGTGTGATTTTGTACATTTTACTATCCATTGAGATGGTTTTAGTAGTTGTTTCCACAAGGTTATGTTACAGTCCCTCCTGTGGTAAGAATCTTCGTAACACTGGTTTCCGTAAAGATAAAAATCCTCTTGGAAAACATCCCAAATTTTTGTCAAAGAGTGATTTTGATTTTCAGTTTATTCCAGATTACTTGCCTCTAAATTTAGAATTAAACCTTCATGACTTAGGTGCCAGACCACCCTCTGTTCCTTCTCTATTAATAAAACAAGCCTCTTTAAAAAGATTCCTTGTTTCTGTCTATGCCTAAGGAGTTGAAACAGCTGTCAGTATTGTCACACTGAATTTCCCACTAAGTAGTGATCTTTGTAAAAGTGTGCCTTTGAATTGCAATAAGGAACCCCAACTTTGGATAATTGTTTATTTGGTCTAAATTCAGAATTGTCTTTGTGTGGTGTTGCTGTGGTAGGCCTGCTGTCTGGGACTCTGTTCACACTTCTGTTACGGGCTTTTCTTGAATTCTGGAGATGAGAACAACTGGGAGGAATGGTTGTGCATTCTTCCCTGTGTTACTGCCTCGATTGGACATAAGGGATGAAAGGGGTGTAGAATGTACTGCTGTGGATACTCTGCTGAACTGTGCACATAAATGTGTAAATATATTTGTGGGTGAAAAACATTTTGAAGAATGATTATAAGCAAATGACCTGCCCTCCTTATCCAAGGGAATCCTGTTTTGCAGGTGATGCTAAATAGTCTGGCATCTCTTTACAGCTCATTTTGCTTGATTAATTTCTAATAACAATGACTTCCTTTGCAGTGGGGAAAGGAAGTTGCAGGCTGGTAACTCCATGATGAGACTCTGTGCTGGAGAATATCCTAGAGCACTTGTGCCAGCAGTCGTTTTGGCTGTTTGAATTATATTGCTATACTTGCATTCATAAGACAAATCATAATGATTCCAAGTGATATAAGAAGGATAGGTAATCTTCAGATATTTTAGCTGTTCTACTCCTGCGGCTCTTGTTTCATGAATGTTTAACAGAAGTTTCGATTAGTACTACATGATGTGTAATTAACCTACCTGCTGAAGAATAAATTGTGCATGATTTTCCTCCCCCACCCTCCCAGTTTAACTGCTCTGCGCTATTTTGATTTGGTTACAACAGCCATTGGACATACTGGCAATAATTGTTATCTCTAGACATGGACCTTGTCATATAGGAGTAAAGCAAATTAGGGAAAGGAATGTATGCTCTAGCGTGTACAATGCAAACTGAAAGATTTATGTGTGTGTTTGGGTTATTTTCATTTTTTATTTGGCTCTTTTTTCTTGAGACAGAGAAGGTAAGGAAGAGAGGAATACTTCAGTGGAACCCAAGTCTGACAGCTGATACATCAGTTGTAGATGAAGTTTTTCCCAGTAATGGAAGTGGAAAAGCTGGAGCTCAGCCAATGTATTTTTACTTGCTAAGTGAAAACATCAGTGGGACTTTAAAAGTCTTGAGGAAGTCAATCTGCTTCTATTCCTAGTCCATAAAATGGGATTGGTTCCTTTCCCCTTTCCCCATAGTTGCTTTCATCTATGTGGTAAAATTTTTAGTCAAGAAAATCTTGCTTTTGGTTGTTCACCATTTAATATGAAGGAGGCTGATCTCTGTCTCTGTGCCTTTTAGGGATACAGAAAAACAGAATAATTCTAGCCTGTTCTCAAAGACTGCAGATTTTATTAGGAATGTAAACTATTTTTGGTACTTTGGGTAAAAGAATCACAATTAGCTTTGGGCATAATTCCTCTCTCATTTTGGTCATTGTCAGTTTTGAAACTTTTTTCAGCTTTCTCCTGTTGTTGGATGCAGTTCTTTGTCTCAAACTAGGAAGACTGGCTCAAATATCCCAAGCAAGCAAACTCAACCCCCCCCCAAAACAAATCCCATACTTTGTCTTTTTAATTATAGTACTCTTACTTGTTGGTTTTAACATTAGAGAGAAAATTCAGAAATAAATGATTTTAAAATATTCATCAAGTGTCTAACACTGAGAATGTCTTTGTACCTGCTCAACCTAATTGGGATATTAGTAATCATAATTATTCAACAGCTTTGTAAAGTTTTCACATCATTGACTACAAATGGAGTTATAATACATTCCGTACACGTGCTTCAGTCTGTTTTGGAGATTGTTGCCCTGGCATCTGAAACTAATTAGTGTTCAGAAAACCTAGTAAAGGTGCATATCAAGGCCTGGCTGTCTGCAAAATTATTTTGATTGTGTGAAAGCTTAAAACGGTAAAGAAAATTTTGTGAGGATTTTTTGGTGTATAAAGTGAGTTACTGTAGTGGTGGCTTTTTGAAGTAGAGTGTTAAAGACTTTGGGGCATTTCTGTGGTTGGAACACCTCTTAGGTGAAATGCTGGTAAATTCTTGCTCCTATGATTTGCAGAGGAGTTGGGGGGCTATGGTGCTATCAGAGTTGACTACAAGGTTAGTAGGTAGTGTATTTTATGTATGTGAAGTTTTTAGGTTTTTATATTGTAGCATCTTTGGAAACGAGAAAAGGCATTATGGGAACAAAAGTCCTTGGAAGCTAATGACATGATGGGTGTTCGACATAAGATCAAGTTGTCCCTGGGACTGTAATTGAATATCCTGACTTTTATTTACAGCTATCTTGTTCTAACTTTTTTCCTTTCCAACCTAGATAATAGAAGTTCATACCTTACTGCTTTCGTTGTCTAACATAGATGAAGAGCATGCCTGTCTTAAAATCAGTAAAACAGATGTGAAACACTTGCGTGAAGAATCCACCCGCTTGCAGTGATGCCTCACGTTCAGTAAGATAACTTAATTTTTTTAGTGTCAGTGTTTGCATTATACCAATTTTCTCACCAACTTGACCAGTTAAGTAAAATACTGATTCTAACTTTCCATTTGAAAATATGAGTTAATTTTAACAGTAGAAGAGATATTTCTTCAAGTGCTTATTAACTTGAATGTTTTTCTTTACGGTATGCATTCTTTACAGTAGATGTTTTTCTTTACAGTACTGCATTAGTTCACTTTTCATTAAATGATTTATTAATTTATTTAAACTGCTCCTTAAATCTTTTCAAACTTAATGTAATGTGCTGAATCCATAGTAACAGCAGGAACACCTCACAGCATAAGAAAGTTAAGATAAAAAATGAACGATTCATCTTTCAATAACATACTATTTGATTACAAAGCTTTCCTAAGCATATCCTTCAAACTTGTGTGTTTTATTTTTTGTTGTATGATTATCTGAGGAATATCTTCCATGAGCAGTTTTTAGATATAAAATCAGATAGATATAAAGCACTTGGATTAATTTTCTGTATATATTACCTGATCCTTTCTGAAAACTGGATGCTTGAGTTGGCACATTTTGCCTCTAGACGTTCCAAGTTGAATATGTAAGATTCTGCCCCTTCTCTCTGATTCTGGGAATGCATAATTTCCAAAGCTGCTCAAGAGCTCAGTAAGATGCAAGTAAATTGTTTGTTCTGAATATTCAGTATATTTAGAAAAATCTGTTTCATCCCTATTCCCCAAATTCTCATCCTTTTTTAATTGGGGTGGGGGAGAAAAAAAGTCATGACAAGATGAAGCTTTTAATGTAAACCTGAAATAAAAAATCTGTAATTTTTAAAGCATAAGATGCTTTGTAAA